GTGTTCCCCTTCCCCTCTCCTCCCCTCTGTCGCCTCTGCTGCTGCTGTCGACCTCCTTGGTGCTGAGAAGGTCGGGGCCGCGTCTGCTCCGAGCGGGCGCCGCAGGGGCAAAGGGGGCAAGGGTGGAGGTGGCGGCGGGGGAGGCGGGAGTGGTGGCGGTGGGGGTGGCGGTGGGACTGGAGAGGCTAGTGGCGGCAGTGGGGGTGGTGACAGCAGCGGCGGGAGCGGTGGCAGGGGCGGAGGCGGCAGCGGAGGCGGAGGTGGTCGTGGCGGCGGCAGGGGTGGAGGTGGCCGGGGCGGTGGCGGCGGCGGTGGTGGTCGTGGAGGCGCTGGCGGTGGCCAGAGTCAGCAGCCCGCCCCGTCACTTCAGGCCGCCCGTGAGTGGTATGCGCAGCGTGGCTTTACCTGCACGTACGTCATTCGCACTGGTGACCGCACTGGCCAGCAGTGTGGGAGGCCGCATCCCACACAGCGCTGTTTCGCGCGCCTTACTGACGCGTGGCGTGCCCAGTTTCCTGATGCCACTGAGCTGCCCCGCTGGGCTGATCTGGAGAAGAAGGGAGTTGATATCTGGGCTTTAGACTTTGATGCTATTCTCACTGCCATGTATGCGATGTTTACTAGTGGAGAGGGTGCTCAGTACTTGCGTGTTCCGCCCGACCCGGGCATTCTGACCAGTCCGGCTGCCGCTCTAGGTGCTAGTGAGTCTGCTGCCCCAGGTCCTGGTGAGGCTGCTGCTCTAGGTGCTAGTGAGTCCGTGCCCTCTGGTACTGAGTCGACTGCAGCACTGCACACCTTCACACTGGACTCAGGTGCTTCTCGCTGTTTCTTTCGTGACCGCACTGTCCTTGAGCCGCTTGCTCGGCCAGTTGCTGTCTCCCTCGCTGACCCCTCTGGGGGTCCGGTCGTTGCGACCTCCTCCACTGTCCTTCCTTGTCCTGCGGTCCCGTCAGGCACACTGTCAGGCCTCTACCTCCCCTCGTTCTCTACGAACTTGGTGGCAGGTAGTGCGCTCCAGGACGGGGGTGTTCACCAGTTCACCCCTGCTTACGAGCGCGTGACCCACTGCACGTGTGCTCGGACGGGCCGTCACCTGGCTACCTTCACTCGGCGGTCGGGGTCGGACCTGTACACACTGACCACTGAGTCCCCTCAGGTAGCTGCGTCCGCGTCTGCGTCTGCGTCAGGTCAGCTGTCCGCCCCCTGCTCGTGTCGCTCTCTGGCGCATGAGACTGTCCTCTGGCACCACCGCCTTGGTCACCCGTCTGTGCAGCGCCTTCGGGCCATGCACAAACGGGACCTTGTTGCTGGTCTTCCCAGGGTTCTCCCTCCCCTCCCACCCTCGCCTGCTCCTCCCTGTCTTCCCTGTGTCGAGGGGCGGCAGCGCGCCGCTCCTCACTCCTCCTCCTTCCCCCCGACGACTGCTCCTTTGCAGACGCTTCACATGGACGTGTGGGGCCCAGCCCGCGTCCGTGGTCAGGGTCAGGAGAGGTACTTCCTGATTGTTGTTGACGACTTCTCGCGCTACACCACGGTCTTCCCCTTGCGCACCAAGGGTGACGTCCCTGATGTCTTGATCCCTTGGATCCGCAGATCTCGTCTCCAGCTCAGTGAGCGTTTCCGCTCCGACTTCCCTGTCCTGCGTCTGCACTCTGACAGAGGTGGGGAGTTTTCCTCTGGCCTCTTGGAGGCCTTCTGTCAGCAGGAGGGCATTGAGCAGTCGTTCATGCTTCCGGCCTCTCCACAGCAGAATGGGGTTGCTGAGCGCCGCATTGGCTTGGTCATGGAGATCGCTCGTACCTCCTTGGTTCATGCGGCTGCCCCCCACTTTCTGTGGCCGTTTGCAGTCCGATACGCTGCGCATCAGCTCAACCTCTGGCCCCGTGTCTCCTTACCGGAGACTTCTCCGACACTGCGTTGGACGGGAGAGGCTGGCGATGCGTCGCGTTTTCGGGTCTGGGGATCTCGAGCTTTTGTTCGCGATACGTCCGCGGACAAGCTCTCCCGTCGAGCTGTCCCCTGTGTCTTCCTTGGCTTTGTCCCGGACGCGCCTGGTTGGCAGTTCTACCACGCCACCTCGCGTCGTGTCCTGGCCTCTCAGGACGTCACTTTTGATGAGTCCGTCCCCTACTACCGCCTCTTCCCCTACCGCACTGCCCCGCTCCCTCCCCCGCCTCTCTTCCTCGCTCCAGGTGCTGAGGTACCAGACCCCCTCCCCCCTCAGGGTGCCGCTCCCTCAGGTGTGTCCCAGGTAGACCCGGTTGAGCCTGTCGAGGTAGCTGTTGACTCTCGTCCTGCTGGGGGTGCTGAGCCTGACCGTGAGGAGTCTGAGGGTACTGAGCCTGGGGGTGCGGAGCCTGGGGGTGCGGAGCCTGGGGGTGCGGAGCCTGGAGGTGCGGAGCCTGGGGGTGCTGAGCCTGGGGGTGCTGAGTCTGGGGGTGCTGAGCCTGGAGGTACTGAGCCTGGGGGTGCTGAGCCTGGGGGTGCTGAGTCTGGGGGTGCTGAGCCTGAGCGTGCTACACCTGGAGGAGCCCTCTCCTCCCGGCAGCTGCAGGAGAGGTACCTACAGTACTGCCGCCTCCGGAGAGGTGCTACTGGAGCTCGTACCAGTACTTCCCCTCCTGCCCAGGAGCTCCCCCCCATTCAGCAGATCCGAGAGTGGTACACGCGGCGCTGCAGTCTTCGGAGTGGTGCTCCTGGTGCTGCGGACCCTGGGGGTGGCGCTGCTGCTGGTGCTGAGGACCCGGGCGTTGGAGCTGCTGCTGGTGCTGCGGACCCGAGCGGTGGCGCGGCTGCTGGTGCTGAGGACCCGGGCGTTGGAGCTACTGCTGGAGCTGAGGACCCGGACGGTGGAGCTGCTGCTGGTGCTGAGGACCCGAGCGGTGGCGCTGCTGCTGGTGCTGAGGACCCGGGCGTTGGAGCTACTGCTGGAGTTGAAAATTTTTAGGGTTTTCATCCCGCCGTGCGCTCGGGGCGCGCGGCGGTTTTCTGCCCGCCGTGCGCCCCGAGGCGCACGGCGGTTTCCTACCGTGGGGGACCCGCGCGCGCCCCCGCCCTGTCCGTCGCGTCGCCCTAGGGGACCCGCGCGCTGCCCCCGCTGCCCCGTCGGTGGTCGCGTCGCCCCGCCACCCCGTCGCGCCGCCCTGGGGAGCCGCGCGCGACCCCCCGCTGCCCCGTCGACAATCGCGTCGACCAGCTGGAGCCGCGCGCGGCTCCCGATTCCCCGTCGCGCCGTTCCCCTCGCCGTCCCCCGCGCTCCTTCCCCCGTTCCGCCCGTTTTAGGGTTTGGGGGTGGGGAGTGTGGGGGTGGCGGTTGTGGGGGTGCCGGTTGTGTGCCCCGTCCCCTCCTCCTCCTCCTCCTTCGTCTCCCGCTGCTGCAGCTGCCGCTCAGGGGGGTGGTTGTGTGGGGAGCCGAAGGAGTGGTGCTAGGGGGGTGAAGGGGGAGTGGAGCTAGGGGCGCAGCAGGGGGTGTGTGTCGAGGGGTGTGGGACTGTTGGGGGAGATTGAGTGGAGGTTGCCGTCGTGTCGTCCGCAGCGCCTGTATTCCGGGGTTCTGATAGCCACCGGTAGCTCAGAGAGCCGGTTGCACCTGTCGCCCGTGGGTCCGTTGCTCCTGTCGCTGCTGATCAGACGCAGAGCCAGTTACTCCTGTATTCCGGGGCACTTGCTCCCGGTAGCCACTAGCGTTGCACCAGAGCCGTCTGTTGCCCGTGTGTCTGCAGCTTCAGTCGTCGCCTCCCATCTACTCTCCTCTCGCTAGCCCTCCTCCTCCTCACTTGCCCTCAGTGACTGCCTCTACCTTTGCTCATAATTTTATGAACTATTGCTATTGTGACTGCTTGTTGTGCTGATTACACCCCACTTTGGCTATGGGGGTGTGTCAGAATGTTATATTGTCTAGCCTGCAGTGGGGTACTCTATAGCGAGTACAGCCCAATCTAGGGTTTGCTATTTGTACTCAACTGCCTGCTAGTTCAAACCCTCTTTCTGTTCCTAACTTCTGCCTAGCTTGTTTCGACAATATTCGAATATGTGGCACTCGAATACGCAATAACATCCAGGTTGTTGAATGCTTTTCCCTACGCCTATAGGGATTCATGCTCTTTCTAAGCATTTTTCGACAAAATCGGCAAATATAAGAGGCGTCGAACTTTTCTTTGCGCAAGAACCAAGCCGAAAAGGCTCTAATAGGTGTATTTGAATATGTGGCACTCGAATATGCAATAAGAGCCAGGTTGTTGAATGCTTTTCCCTACGCCTATAGAGATTCACGCGCTTTCTAGGCATTTGTCGGCAAAATCGGCAGAAATCAGAGGCGCCGAACATTTCTTAGCCCAAGAACCATGCCAAAAAGGCTCTAGTAGGTGTATTTGAACATGTGGCACTGGAATATGCAATAACATCCAGGTTGTTGAATGCTTTTCCCTACGCCTATAGGGATTCGTGCTCTTTCTATGCATTTGTCGGCAAAATCGGCAGAAATCATTGGCGCCGAACTTTTCTTTGCGCAAGAACCAAGCCAAAAAGGCTCTAATAGGTGTATTTGAACATGTGGCACTCGAATATGCAATAACATCCAGGTTGTTGAATGCTTTTCCCTACGCCTATAGGGATTCATGCCATTTTCAAGCATTTGTCGGCAAAATCGGCAGAAATCATAGGCGTCGAACTTTTCTTTGCGCAAGAACCAAGCCGAAAAGGCTCTAATAGGTGTATTTGAATATGTGGCACTCGAATATGCAATAACATCCAGGTTGTTGGATTCTTTTCCCTACGCCTATAGGGATTCATGCTCTTTCCAATCATTTGTCGGCAAAAACGGCAGAAATCATAGGCGCCGAACTTTTCTTTGCGCAAGAACCAAGCCGAAAAGGCTCTAATAGGTGTATTTGAATATGTGGCACTCGAATATGCAATAAGATCCGGGTTGTTGATGCTTTTCCCTATGCCTATAGGGATTCATGCTCTGTCCAAGCATTTGTCAGCAAAATCGGCAGAAATTAGTGGTGCCGAACTTTTACTTGCGCAAGAATCGAGCCGAAGAGGCTCTAATAGGTGTATTTGAATATGTGGCACTCGAATATGCAATAACATCCAGGTTGTTGAATGCTTTTCCCTACGCCTATAGGGATTTATTACCATTACCATTACCATCACCATTACCATTATTATCATTTTCAATACAATTACCATTACCATTATCATCACCATCACCATTACCATTACCCAATTATCATTATCATTACCATCACCATTGTCATTACCACTACTATTACCGTTACCATTACCATAACCATTACCATTACCGTTACCATTACCATTACCATTACCATTACCGTTACCATTACCATTACCATTACCATTACCGTTACCATTACCATTACCATTACCATTACCGTTACCATTACCATTACCATTACCATTACCGTTACCATTACCATTACCATTACCATTAGACTTGCATCTTCCTAGTCGCAGCACCATCATCACTTCGTTCCATCTCTCCTCAGACCTTCCTCTCTGTTACGATACGAAATTGTATGAGAAGGCATTCTTGTATGCTGCAGGTGTCAGAATCCCAGCCACTAACCACTGGGATAAAAGGGCTTGTTTATATAGCGGGTGAGTGCGCCCATAACCCCCCAGGCCGACGTGCCTGTAACCCTTCCCTAGGATCATCGGGGATTTCCAGTGGACCTCTGACAGCAGGAGCCGACTCTACCGAGTATGAAGTCGAGGAGTCAGAAGAGTCGAAGCGACACAGCAACCGTCTGATCATGTCCGATGCAGGCAGAAACATTTGAAATGAAAATAGCGGAAACAGGTTTGAAACTGATTCCCGCGCCGCACGGTTTAAACCCAGCTCGGATAAGGGAATGTACCCCTTAGAGTACATGGCTAGTCTAGGTCGTTTCGCATTCTTTTGTACTTCTATATAAACCCTATGTATGCATGCTATTATCAATCTCAGTCATTTACATTCACTCTGACCTGAGTTCACTACTTCCGCTGCGACACTACCTGCGATCAACCCTGAACGATCCTTTCGCTAAGTCCCACTTCAGATTGTAACACTCTCTCCTCACCCCATTTGTAGCACATGATGTCGGTTCTGGTGCAAGGCGACCACATAAAAATCACAACACTTTCACCATCATCTCATTCCATCCCATCCCTGTGACAGGTAGGCACACCAACCCCAACTGCCCATTCTCCATATTGGCCAACATGAGCTTTCGCACCGGGTCCATCTCCGATAACCATGTCAGCGGGTGGTACTCATAGATGCCTCTAAAGCTGTTATGGACCAATGTAAGTTAAGTTGTTTCTCTATGATGGGCAACCAGCAGTAGTGCCATTTCCAATCAAAAGTCGACTTTGAGAAATGATGCTCTATAGTTGATAACGTAAATCCACGAATTTCCAGTGCTACCCTGTTCTCCTCCCTCTTCCCTCCCCTTGCCCCGCTCCCGCAGTCACCAAGACGGCAGCAGTGGAGTTGGTTGCCCATAAGAGCCTATTCGTTGCCGTGTTGCTACACCCCACCTGGTCGCTTGTCACTGCGGTCCTTTGAAGAGTTCACTTGGCTCTCCCCCACCCTCCCACCATTGCCTCACTCCCTCTTCCCCCTCCCTCCCATACACGGCCCCCCTTTTCCTCTTCTTCCCATTCACCAAGACAGCAGCAGTGGAGATGGCCGCCCAGATGAGCTTAGTGGTGGCCGTGCTGCTACACCCACCTGGTCCCTCCTCATTGTAGTTGTTTGGTTCATTTGGCTGTCTCCCGCACCTTGTTACCCTTACCTCACTCCCTTCCCCACTTCGCTTTCATCCCCGTCTCTTGCTCTCCCTCCACAGTCACCAAGACGGCAGCAGTGGAGTTGGCCACCCAGAAGAGCCCAGTGGTGGTTGTGCTGCTACACCCCAACACTGTAGACACTGACCCGCTCGTTCACTGCGCACTTGCCGGCCGATAAGATCTTCACACCGGATTTTGCTGCCGAGCAGCTATTTGGTATTCTTGATGGGTTCAGTGAGAAGGAAAATGGGCAATTTATCACTTATGATGACACCAACGTGGCGTGGTGATTGTTTGCGAAGCGGTTATTACGTTGGGAGGATGCTTAATATGAGGAGCATTTCCTAGTGTTCTCAGAGAAATTGCAGCTATCTAGAGCTATTTCTTTCTGTATGCATACTGTATTTGAGAAGAGAAAGCAAAAATAGCATGTGTCATTTAACTAAAGTGACTTCTAGAACATTCTGTGTGGGAAGATCACAACTCTGTCTTCAAGTCGCACCACTTTACCGCGTGTCGACCACTCATATCCTCTCCCCCCAGTACGGTCAGCCAATTTGTTCACAACTTTCCCAAGCATCCCGTTTTTTATCACCTTGCGCGGTATTCTGCCTTTTGCGCTCAGCGTTTCCGCCTATCGCGCTTTTCGCGGAAACGTTGTCAGCATCATCCCGCGCGTCCCCCAATGGCTGCGCTTGCCGCGCAAGCCGTCTCCGCCGCTGCGGCCGCTGCACTGCCGGCTTTCCCGCCGTCGCATCCGCGCGCTTCACTAGCAGCCAGGATCACGCCGCTGCGGATAGGAGGGGCGGGGAAGCGCGGCTGTAGCAATGGCGGCGGTAGCCGCGCGGGGAGGAGGGGTGGAGCTGTGGTTGCGCTGGCTGCTCCGCCTGAAGCCGTGACTGCGATCGTGGAGAGCGGAGCTGCGACCATGGTGAGCGCCGCATGGCGAACTATGGTGACTCTGGTTAGACGAACGCTCGCTCCCTCGCTCGCTCACGTTCGCTTAGGCCCTCCTACTTGCTCGCTCCGCCTGAAGCCGTGACTGCGAGTGTGGTGAACGGAGGTGCAACGATGGTGCGCGAAGCATCGCATTGTCTCTGCTGCGACGAACTCTAGCCGTCTCGCTCGCTCCCCTTCTCTGAGCCCCTCCTACTTGCTTGTGTTAAATTCTATATCTCGACCCTCCACTTTCCCCACCAAGCCAACACACACACGTTCTTGCATTCCTTCTTTTGCACTCCGTTCCCTCCTCTTTCCTCCTCATTTCCCCCTCTCACCTCCTCATTTTCCCCCTCTCACCTCCTCATTTTCCCCCTCTCACCTCCTCATTTTCCCCCTCTCACCTCCTCATTTTCCCCCTCTCACCTCCTCATTTTCCCCCTCTCACCTCTCTCCCCTTTCTGCCCGTCGCCCCCTACTCAAACAACCTCATTCCGCCCCACACACACGCAACCCCCCTCCCTCGCGCCAGGTGTCAGCTGCTGATTGGACGAGCCACCTCGTGCTCGCCACGCTCAACACAGCTGCCACGCTGGCATCCGACGGGCCAATAGAATTGCCCCCCGTGTCTGGCGTGCCCGCTTATCTGGAAGACCCATGGGCCATTCCCGAGGTCTCTCCATTGCAATCTTTCGCCAGTATACTGCTGACGGGAACTATCGGTGTGCTGTTGTTCCGGGCTATCAAGAGACGAGCAAGCAAGGTCACAGAATCAGTGAGTGGGTGATGGGAACGATGGAGTGAGGGTATGAGAAGTAACCTTTGCAGTCCTCCCTTTTCCAGTATACTTAAGAAGGATGATCGGTGTGCTGCTGTTTCCGGCTATTAAGAGACGATCAACCTCGTTGGGTGTGGTAAGTTCGGTTCAGAGAGGTTCAATGAGGTCGGTTATCGCCTCTGCAGTATACTGTTAATTGGGACGATCGGCATGCTGTTGTTTCTCTGCATGCTCCCCATTTGTCTCTCTCCCCACACCCCATCCCATCGCGCTCTCGCTCCCCGTATGTCACACTCAAGAGCCACAAAAGCCACTCTTCTGATTTTCTCCTGCCCCTCGCAGCGCTTCCGGTCGGACTCAGTTGGGAAGCTGTCGTCCAATCAGGTGGTGGAGGAGAGGAGAGAACGCTCGTTGCACAGTGAATTGCCTCTAGACACTCCAAACCCATAGAAACTGCAATAATCTCACTCCGGTGTGACCATGTCTCTCCTCTCCCCCTGCCAGCGCTTCCGGTCGGACTCAGTTGAGAAGCTGTCAGCCAATTCGGTGGTAGAGGGAGCACAGTGAACAATGAGCCACCCGAGATTAACCAACATGATTTCCACAACCTCAGAGATTTCCTGCCCTATTCTTCCCCCCTCGCAGCGCTTCCGGTCGGACTCAGTGGAGAAGCTGTCGTCCAATCCGGTGGTGGAGGAGCGGAAAAGGAGCGCAGTGGCGAGTGAACCAACCTGAAAAAACCCGACACAATTGCGACATTTTTTAGGATTCTCCTGCCCCATTCTCCTCTTCCCCTGCCAGCGCTTCCGGTCGGACTCAGTGGAGAAGCTCTCGTCCAATCCGGTGGTGGAGGAGCGATGAGCATACCCAGTTGAGATAGAAGCAACATGAATCATTTCAACCTCTTGCATCCTGAGAAGCATCCTACCCTATGTTCTTCTTCCCTTCCCAGCGCTTCCGGTCAGACTCGGTGGAGAAGCTCTCGTCCAATCCGGTGGTGGAGGAGCGGAGGCGTCGGGCGGCAGAGGAAGCGGCAGAAGCAGCCAAGCGGCCGCCACCCACGGTGCTGAACACGCTGGGCGGCGCACTGGTGGCGGGATCGATCGCAATCGTGCTGTACAAGTTTGCCACGTCCGTTGATGATGTGTTTGCCGGCCAGACCCTTTCCACCACTTATACGGTGAGTGCATGTTTCCGTGTTACGATGGCTTACAGAGTATGTGTTTAATTTTGGTTGCCAGAACCCATGTGTTATGATGCCCATCATGCGTCTTTTCAAATCCTTCTTTCCTCTCTCCTCTTTTTCTGCTCCGTTATTGACCCCCTCATCTACAGGTTCGGAACCTCTCCATTGCTGTCAGGTACATTCCATTGAGTGCTTAACCTAATGAAATACTTATCATGTACACAATCCACACCACTTCGTGTTCTTTTCGTTTCAATAGCTCCATTGTTATCCTCCCACTTCCCTTTTGTAATCTCTGTACCTTTCTTCTCCCTGCTCCCTCTTCGTCTTCCTTTTCACCCTTAATTCACCACAGGACCATAGTATCGGGCCTTGTATGGCTTGGCACATTCATCTTTGCTCTCAATTCCCTCGGTCTCACGCTCTACGCCTTTCAACTGGCGCTGGGTATGGACTCCCCTAAAGACAGCCCCGTTAGTGGGACTGGGAGTCAGGCAGATACAGTGGGATCCAAAGATAGCGAGTCTAAGGAGGCAGAGGTTTCGGTTGGGGGCGAGGAGAAAAAGCCAATGGGTTTTGGAGGTTCTTCGAAGGAAAATGGGGGAGCTGAGAAGAAATAGAGATGCGAGCGAGGAATCAAGTTCAAAGTTGGAGCAACAAATGTGTGCACGTTATTGTTCTCTATCGTTTGTTTGTCTTGTCAGAAATTGTAGCTATATATTGTGAAGTGCTCCTTACGACCATTTCGGTAACCACAACGACAGACCTAATGAATTATACGTTCTGTAATGTAGCGCTTTATAGCGCGTTCATTACATTGGAGGGGGATAGCAGCATGTGTAGCTGGAATCGCCCCGTTCTCGTCAGATTCCAAGGACAGAAAATGGCGCGAGGCTGACGAGCAAGTCGATCACATCGCGCAAACCATGGGCCATGGCGGTTCAGTGTCAACCCCCGTGCAACCTAAGTGTACTGCACTCGAAGGAACTCCAGAATCGTCGCATTAGGGACGCTACTTTCAAATGTCGTCAGATATGTAGGCGCCTCTAGCGGCGAGGGGACGGTAGCGTCGATTCCTAACTTGGATCCAGTTCCGCTCCAGAGGAATACTTTTTTTAGGCGATTTTTTTTTTACGTGTTTTGAGACGTTTCAGCACGCAATGTCTGAGGCGATTCGGCAATGGGGCCGCCGAGAAGCAGATTGGCGGGCATGCTTGTTTATTGCGCTCCTCGGTGCCTGTCTCCTCTCTGTTTCGTACGCGACTCAAGGTGAGTCGATACAAGACGAAGGATTCTGAAGTGCAATTTATCCGTTCTCAACTCTCCCCGAATCATCCGCTTTTCCTATCCGATTTCATCCGCTCTCCCTTTCCCTCCGATCCGTGTACCCTCCAGCCCAAGCGCAATCCGAACCAGCGCCGCCAGCACCAGCAGGACCAGAACTAGCCGATCCAGCATCAGCCAATCAGGCCGCCGTCGTTCCGCCAGCACATCAGACGGCCGTCCAGACGGCTGTCCAGGCAGCCGGCCAGCCGGCAGTGCAATCGACGGACGAGGTGCTTCTGGGGAGAGTGGTGGAGATAGCGGCGGAGCTCAGCCGTCAGATGCAGGAGGAGCAGGCGCTGCAGCAATCCCAGGGAGCAATTCTTGGAGAGCAGTCGCCACCCTTCCCTCCTCCCGTCCCCCCTCCATCCGTCCCCTCTCCTCCCTTCCCCCCTCCACCGCCCCCCCCTCCCGCTCCGCTCCTCCCACCTCCTTCTCAAGCCCAAGCAGCGGGGGTAGGAAACACTGCAGGAGCGGACGAGGTGCTTATAGGGAGAGTGGCCGCGATAGAGGAACAGCTGATGCTGCAGCTTGCAGGGGCTAGTGACGAGGAGGGGAAGAGGGAAACTGGAGGAGAGGAATCAGAAAAGCACAAGGTTCAGGAGAGAGAGACGAGTCCCCACTTACCTTCCACTCCAACACCCTCACACCCTCCACCACCCTCTCCTCTCTCACGCCCTCCACCCCCCTCTCCTCCTCCTATGGATCCCCTCTTTACAGTCACATCCCTTAACCGAACCATTCGCAGGGTAGACCTCAATAAGACCTTTCTAGAATACCACCATCATTTCCGGGAAGGAGAGCTCAAGCTACAGTGCTCCGGCGAGCCTTGCCCGAACCTAGGCTCCTGCGGTCCGGAGTTCCCGAACCTGCGCGCCTGCTACTGGCCGAACCTGGTCGACGCGGAGTACCTGTTTCCGGACCAGCCTATAAACTGCCCGAAAGTGATGGATATGAGTGTGGAAGGAGGGAGGGAGGTGTCGGATACGAGGTGCACTCATAAGGGGGATGACTTGCGGTTGGATATGTTTCTGCCTCAGTATTACGAGCTGCGAGATGTGTATTTAGATGGGGATGGGTTGGTGTTTAACGAGACTGTGTTTTTTGATCGGCACAGCTGCGCTGACAAAGGAAATGTGAGTGCATAGGCCTTTTCTGATTTTTTTTCAGGGTGTTTTTGGGATGGCTTGGTGTTTTTGGGATGGCTGGGTGTTTCTGGGATGGCTGGGTGTTTTTGGGATGGCATGGTGTTTATAGAGCTGGTGTCCCTCATGTTCCCCTCGGCATCTCATCCCATCACACGTGCTCATAGAGTGTGTGCGAGCGAGGTGACTTGAGCTTACCACCCCCTCCTCTCTCCCTCCTATTCCTTCCCGTCTCTGCTCCCTCTAACCTGTCACCAGTTCTCCTTCGAGCCAGGCAAGGCCAAGGTCCGACACTACGACCGTCTGGTGTCCCTCATGTACCCCTTGGGCATTGCATTCTACCACGTCGTCATAGAGCTCGTGTGAGGTGACTTGTCTGAGCTCATCACCTTCCCCTCTCCCTTCCCTTCTCTGCCCCATCCCAAATGCCACCACCAGTTCTCCTTTGAACCCGGCAAGGCCAGGGTTCGTCACTACGACCGTCTGGTGTCCCTCATGTACCCTCTGGGCATCGCATTCTATCACGTGCTCATAGAGCTCGTGCCTCACCTCTTCGTGCTCTCCCCGCTGCTGCGCGACAACCCCTCCATCCCCATCGCAATCGCCTCGCATCAGGTATGCTGGATTTTTATCGTCTATTTTTATCCATCCCCATTGCATCTGCATCCCCTTCCCAACCCTCTTCGCCTCACTTCTTTGTGCTGTCCCCTGCTGTCTCCCAGGTCAAGGCGTTCAGCAGCCTCCTGGTGCCTTTCCTTGGCATCCCAGCCACCGCTCTCAACCTAGCAGTCATCCCCAACCGACACGCTGACGTCAACCTGCTAGTCCACGTCGATGTCTTATACCAGGTACCGTATTCCATCTAATCTCTTATCGCCCATTCATCCTTCACCGACTGACACGCTGGTGTGATCATGTTTATCATATCGTCCACGTGGATAGCATCATATGCCCCTGCACCCCACTTCCGCCCCCTCCCCTTCTCCCCCCCACCACCCCCAGCCAGTGTACCAAACCTGGTGTCGCTCCGCATCGGCGATGTGGGGGAGCTGTGGTGCCGCTGCCTGCTGCCCCCTTGTGTGATATCATGATGCACCTGCTCCCCACTTCCGCCCCTCCCCCCTTCGGGCCCCCTCCCCGCCCCCCAGCCAGTGTACCAAGCCTGTAGTCGCTCAGCCCCCGCCATGTGGGGGGAGCTGCGGCGTCGTTTCCTGCTGCCCCCTTTAGTGCCCCTTCCACAACACCCCTGCGCCCCCTTCCCATCTTTCTCCCAAAACCCCCAACCCAGCCAGTGTACCAGGCCTGTGGTCGCTCCGCGCCTGCCATGTGGGGGGAGCTGCGGCGTCGCTTCCTGCTGCCCCCCAACGGTCTTCCCCTCTTCCGCCCAGGCCTTGTCCCCCGCCACAATCACACCTACTTCCCACCTTCACCTGCTGCTGATCCCACCACCGCCCTCGTTCCACCAACCATGCCTGATTTACCAATCGGCTCCACCGATGGCGCCAGCAGCAGCACAAGCAGCTCGCTTCCTGTGCCAGCTGGTAGTAGCGACATGGACGTGCCGCTGTGGACTGACGCGCAGACCGCCCGCCTGCCGTACAGCTGGCGCGCCGTGATTGCGCACCGGCGCGGCGCCATGCGCCACCTGGCGGCTTTTGATTCGCTCGTGGCGGAGATGAAGCGAGTGTTCCCGCCGCAGCGGGTGTTTGTGTTTGAAGGCGATCTGCCGATATTGCAAGGTGCGTGGGCTAAGCTTATAGTTACAAGTCTCTACCCTTACCTGCCATCGTTAAACACGGTGTTTCGCCCGCCGCAGCGGTGTGTGTTTTTGAGGGCGACCTGCCCATGCTGCAAAGTGCTTGCGGTGGTGTCTGCTGTTCTGCATTGTGGTTACACTGTGTGCATATCCTATAGGTGCACAGAGTGTTCCCGCTGCAGCGAGTGATTATGTTTAGAGGGGAGCTTCTGACCTGCCCATGCTGCAAGTTGGGTGGGCTATTGTAATATACTATAGGCCGATATTTGCATGCTCTCGTTGCACACAGTGTTCACGGGTGTTTGTTTTTGGAGGGGACCTGCCATCCTGCCCATGCCCAACAGAGCAGCGGTTTACGTCGGTTTGCATTGCATGGAGCAGATCTTAAAATCGAATCTTCATGCCATCCATTCCCCCCTCCCATTCTCATCCCCACCTGTAACTCTCTCCCTCTTCCCTTTCCCAGCCAAGCTCCTCTTCAACCGAGCAACGGTCTACGTGGGTCTGCACGGAGCAGGTCTGTCCAACATGATCTTCATGCCCTCCAAATCCCCCCTCCTCCCCTTTCCCATCTGCTCTTGTTACTCACTGTTTTTCCCCCTCCCAGCCAAGCTCCTCTTCAACAGAGCAGCAGTGTATGTGGGTCTGCACGGAGCGGGCCTCTCCAACATGATCTTCATGCCCTCCAATTCCTCTGTCTTTGAGATTCGACCTCGGGATTATCCCAACCCCTGCTACCACCACTTATCCATGGCCACGCAACAGAGATACTACCTGGTGTTCGGAAACGGGACTAAGGATTCGGAGTTGAGGTATAATATGAGCGAGGTGGTGAATGTTTTGGTGATGATAGCGGATCAGACTAAAAGGAGGGTGCCAGCGAGTTCTTGGGAGGCGGAGGAAGTAGGTTCGGCTTTGGATGAGTTAAAAGAGAGTGATTATATGGATGTGATGCTAGATGATGCTGGAAGTGGGAATCCTGAGCCAGATTTGACAAACTTATAATAAAATCAACATTGTGTACCGTACTACATTTTTTAGATGCCCCAACCCAAACATCAATATGGTACTTCACCTTACAGAACCCACCAAGTGTGCCTTTAACCGGTGCATCACTAGGTTGTACTGTAACATCAACTGGCGGCGCAATAGGGACCCCCTGCACGGCCTTCCTCACCCCTGTGCCGCATGCACCCTCTCTCCAGCTCTCAACTTTTGCATTTACTTCATAATCCCTGCAAGGCAACCATCTGCTTTACAATTGGCATAGTAACCCCGGTATGTCTTTCTAATCCCGATCCAATCGGTACGCTCGCCCCCTGAACACAGCACCACCCGAACCACCACCCACCCCCCCTGCTGTCCCTGCTGCTCCCCCTCCTGCCGCTCGTCCTCCTCCTGCTGCCATAGCAGGCCCGCGGGCCGGAGTGGGCCTCGGGGGTGCCTGGGGTTGCACCATGTTGGGCGCTAAAACTGCCCACTGTGCTACAAGCCGGTGGCTGGAGGATGAAGGGGATGACGGGGATGGGGGTGTAGAGGGTGAGGAGGAAAGGGGTGAGTGGGAAGTTTTGCTGCACACACGAGCAACAGTGCCTGCCTGCGGCAGCACCATGTTGGGCGCTACAGCCGCCCACTGCACTACAAGCTGATGGCTGGAGGGTGGGGGAAGAAGAGAATGCAAAGGGTGGATATAAGGAATGGATAGGGGTGATGCGAGGTATGCCTGTGGCAGCACCATGTTGGGCGCTACAGCCGCCCACTGCACTACAAGCTGATGGCTGGAGGGTGGGGGAAGAAGAGAATGCAAAGGGTGGATATAAGGAATGGATAGGGGTGATGCGAGGTATGCCTGTGGCAGCACCATGTTGGGCGCTACAGCTGTCCACTGCGCTACAGGCCGATGGCTAGAATCGGGGGCAAGTGGGGCAGAGAGGGTGGGAAAAGGAGAGGGTGAGTGGGAAGTTGCATGCACCCAAAGAGGCATGCTAATGAGCTGTGCCCCCCCCTGTGCGCAGATACGCTGCCGTGAGAAAGTAGTAAACGTGTCCTCAGGGGTTTGTCTCTCTGAATACGCCTTGATAAAGAGAGACAAGAGGCAATGAACTTACACCCAGAGTAGATTGCGGATGAGGTGAGCGCCCCCTGTGCATGGATACACGGCCGCGTGGAAGTACCGTAGTAGGTGTGACCTCTGATCCTCTATAGGCCACCTCAAAAAGCAAAAGAAGACTTACACCCAGAGTGGTGTGCGGATGAGCTGAGCCCCCCCTGTGCGCGGATACACGGCGGTGAGGAAATAGTAGATGTGACCCGCCACTATGCCGGCCAGCGAGTCAACGACACTCATTCCAAAGAGCAGATCCATGAATAGGTACGCCCAGGGCAGGTAGAAGGCCTGCAGTACAAGGAGAGGAGAGAAGGGGAAGAGATGAGAGGATTCTGAGCTTAACAACGTGGGGACATCAACCACGCTCAGTCCAAAGAGCAGATCCATGAATAGGTACGCCCAGGGCAGGTAGAACGCCTGTGATGGTGGGAGAGGATGGGATAGGATGATGGTGAAACATATATCACAGAACAAGAAAGTCAACCACGCTCATTCCAAAGAGCAGATCCATGAATAGGTACGCCCAGGGCAGGTAGAAGGCCTGGAGTGGGTGAAAAGGAGAGGACGGAGGAAGTAGTACGCGTGACCCATCACTATGCCCAGCGAATCAACGACGCTCATTCCAAAGAGCAGGTCCATGAAGAGATACGCCCAGGGCAGGTAAAAGGCCTGAAGACGGGAGGAACAGAATAAGTGCAAAGCAGGAGACTCAGTGATGCGCATTCCAAGCAGGTTCGTGAATAGTTATGCCCGGGCCAGGTGGACCCATGAAATTGACAACACCGATGGGATTATCCCCACTCCGCAAGTAGATGACCAAGAGGAGCAGAGGCTCACTAAGGAAGAAGTACTTAATGAGGATGTACGGGAAGAGGAATGCAAGGGGTATATACCTAAGCAGGGAACTCACAGGCATGGACAGAAGGCCCATGAAGTTGACCACGCCATTGGGGTTCTCCCGGCTCCACAGGTAGATGACTGAGAGGAGCAGCGGCTCACTAACAAAGAAGATCTTAAAGGGGATGAACAGGAAGAGGAATGCACGGGGTTTAGAGCCAAGGAGGGAACTTACTGGCATAGACAGAAGACCCATGAAGTTGACAACGCCATTGGGATTCTCCCGGCTCCACAGGTAGATGACTGAGAGGAGTAGCGGCTCACTAAGGAAGAAGATCTTAAAGGGGATGATGAGGGCGATGACTAGCAGGCTGAGCGTGTTGATCATGAGCATGTAGAGGAAGTCCGCTGTTCTTCCGGCGAAAGCTGACGTCTCCATCTGTACACAGTAGCGGGCTCTGCAATAACGAGGATGGCAGTTTAAGAGCCAGAAAAATATATGAGCAATAGAATGAGCAGGTCATAAGGTGGTGGAATGGAGGAAGCATGAGGGAGAGTGGTTGACTGTGGAGAGGGAGTATGAAGGGGCATGGAGAAAAGTGTGAGGGAGTGTGAGGAGCATCGAGCAGGGGAGTGTGAGGGAGAATGAGGGACAGTGGAAGGATATCAGGTGGTTGGGGAGAAGTGCGAGAAAACATGAGGAAGAAAAAGGGGGGAGGGAGGCCAGTGAAAAGAGGGGAAGTTTTCGTACATCATAAGGAGAGTGAAGGCGAATCTCATGCTGAATCCTCCTGCAAAGAAGATGTTTGTAACGAGGCGCCATATCTGAATGTCACAACACAAGCATGCACAGGTGCAGCATGCACGCAGACGATTCACTAAGGGACGTGTCAGAAAAGGATGTAGCCTAGTAATATTCCTGTTATGTATGGTAGATGAAGAACATATATGCCAGACTTCGCATGAGAAGAAAGTGACGGAATGCGAAAGTGCATGTAGATTGACAAAAACAGGCGTGGATGAAAGGCAGCAGGAGTTAGGGTCAAAGGAAGAGAGAGCGGAGCAGCGTCAGGAACGAGGGATAGAACCTGGAATTTCTGGAATATGAGGGTGTAGTCGAGGAAGATAAGCTGCACTGGCAGCACTTTGAGCTGCATGGCACATGCGGTGGCGAATAGCGCCGTTCCCCATGCCTTGCTCACTGGCGGCAGGGAGTTGTACCACCTGAGACGTATGCGAGGAGGGGATGACTTTAATTGTAGGAATTTTAAGTCTATAGGGTAATTGATTTACTGTACAATCTATGGCGCCTCATGAAGGTAACTGTACCACCCGAAGGCGTACGCGTCGGGAATAACAGAACGCGAGAGAGATAATAGAAGTAAGGCTGCACGCTTAAGAAAAAACCGCGACTCGGCAGTGAAAATAGTGAACGACAGGTGTCAACGGTAGGCACCAACGACAGGCCTAGCGGATAGATGAATCGACGACGGAGCTATGCTTACTCTGCGGGACTCGCTGCTGCCATGACGACAGAAGTTCAACGGTCCCGAAGATTGCGACAGTCTCGGTGGTTCTGGCGATCCTGGCGACGCGCGGACGTGTCTAGGCTACGAAAAAGTTGTCGAAAATTACTGTGCTTCACAAGCGATCTGCAAACCGGATCTGTCCCCTCCCAAGAAAATAATTTCGCGATTCCGACTAGGCTGGCTCTGGTCTAGTCTGAAGCGTTCGGGATGCAGCGTAGCGCGATGAGGGGATTCTTTAGTATTCTCCAGGTCAAATCTGGAAATCGAGAAGCTTGGTGCTGAAGAAGTTTCTCGTGTCTCCCAGCAATTGCGAAACGGATGGATTTTCGCTCGTGCCCGTCGTGGGGTTCGGTAACAGCTTCTCGCCTAATCGTCGCCAATTCGTGAATTTTACCTGTCTGACGAGTTACAAGCAATTCGGAGTCCAGTATCAGCAACCTGGCAGAAAGCAGACGCAGCTTTCATCAGCGCGTACCATAAAATGGTCGTCAACGGTTTAGAGAGTTTCTGTGCAATATAGAGCACTCTATATCCAGCTCTTCAGATTCCGAGTTTGTGTGTTGATCATAACTGTCTCCACTCCAACAGGAAACTCCAGCGCTTCAGATTCCGACCATTTACGCTTTTGGCATTTCCTTTCAATGTCTCCCTGCAAAGCCCATTGCTGACACAGCACAAGGTCACGTTTCCCTCGAAATCCCTTTGTTGAATTGGCGGAAAGAGCGTCGTTCTGTATGGCGGACAAGCTTAAGGGTTCTCGGAATCAAGCTGCATCGCAAGCTGCCATGGCGATTCGATCCAAGTCGACGGTAGTTAAGCTGCTCGCAATTCTCGCACTGTGTATCGCCGTCATTGGCGGGTTACAATTGCTTCGCACGTCGTGCAACTACTTCGCGAGCTCGCGGGGTCCGTCATCCTCCGATCTTCCCGCTGGATTTTCCAACTCTTCGAGAATACCGAAGCGCTTGTTTATTAACTACGCACACAATTGCTGCCACGTCGGCCAGCGGACCTCGTGTGAGGCCGCGTTACAGCATGGAGCGGATCGCTGTATTCCATACAATCAAACCTCTTTGGATCCCGATTTCACCTCTCGAAACAAAAAGATCTTATCCCTTCCTCGAGGCGTGGGATACTGGGTGTGGAAACCGTACCTTATACTGAAGACGCTTTTAGAGGAGATGGAGGATGGAGATTTGCTACTATACGCGGACGCCGATAGCACCACAAACGGGGATTTATCCGCGTTATACGGCCTTGCAGCTGGTAACGGGGAAAGCTATGCTCCTGGCGGGATAGTGGATGGAATTGTGTCGAGGATGGCGTTACACGATGGGGATGGCTCAGACGGCGGCGTAAAAGACATCATGAAATGGGCTTTAAGACAACAAGAGGTTCATTTATTTCAATTTCCACGCAATTTCGTGGAAGTTTGCTGGACAAAAATGGACGCTTTTCTTCTGCTCAATTGCACTGATGAGAGCATCTGCATGATATCCGCCCAGGTGAGCTTATAACGTGTACGGGTTGGGAGAGGGGGAAGGGGGGGAGGGGAGGGGATGTGTGGGGTGGGGGGAGGAGGGGAGAGAAAGATTTGGAGTGATTGTTAAATTGCATGATGTAATACCTCCCAGTTCCTATCTCCCAACTAACCCTTCCTCCCTCCCTTCCCTTTTTTCTCCTAACTTCCCTGCTCACCCAACTGTCATCCATCCCTTCCCCTGCTCCGACACTTTACCCCTCCCCTCGCGTTGATACCTTCCCCCTCCCCCGCTCCAATACCTTCCCTATAACCCATTCCAAAACCTCCCCCCTCTCCCACTCCCACACCCTTCCCCTTCCCCTTCCCACCTTCCCCTTCCCCCTACCTCTCCCCTCTTCCCCTCATGCCGCATCACACCTGTCAGGCGGATGCAGGTTTCTCCGTGTGGCGGCGTGGGCGGCAGTCAATCCAGTTCGCCGCCCAGTGGCTGGGGTACATGGAGGACCCGCGCGTGTCAACGGACCTGCCGAACCAGCTGGGTCGGCCGAACCACATGTGCTTCAGGGACCACCGGCACGACCAATCCGCGCTGGGGCTGCTGGCGAAGCGGTGGGGGCTGCACATGTGGCCGCATGACGTTGTGGAGGCGGTGATAAGTCACCACTGGAACAAGGAGTGACTCGCACATAGCAGTGGGGGCTGCAACCGTTATCAGTCACCACTGGACCATTGGTGAGTTGCACTTGTTACGGGGAGTGGCACTCAGATGTCACCACTGGAACAAGGAGTGACTTGCACATGCTATGGGGGAGTGGCACTCACATGTCACTGCGTTGCTGGCGAAGCGGTGGGGGCTGCACATGTGGCCGCACGATGTGGTGGAGGCAGTGATAAGTCACCACTGAAACAAGGAGTGACTCGCACATAGCAGTGGGGGCTACACAGCAGTTATCAGTCACCACTGGAACAAGGGGTGAGTTGCACTTGCTTGTCATTCAAGCATCACCCTATTCCCTCGTTCAGGAATATCCATCATGCAGTTATATCCAAGCTCTTCTGTAAGAACCACGTACAGCATCCCTTGCCTCTCACGTGGCAGGCTGAGGAGGAGGCAGAGGCTGATGCTGCCAAGAAGGCAGCAGAAGAGGCGGCAGGAAAGTCATTGAATAAGAGCAGGATGAACAGAAGAGCAAGATGAGAAGAAGCAGCTGCTGGCATGCCACATGCGGTGCTGCAGAAAGAGAAGATAGAGCTACCTTTCTTCAGTGGTTATTGATCAAATTTTATTGATTTCAGCTACCGTACCTTGTAGCTGGGCATGTTTCTTTGCTCTTCTGGGTATTAAGATGCATTGCATGTGCATGAATGCACCATTCACCCACCAGATTACAGTCAGACCCAATTGAACTGCTCCAGCAATAGTTCTCTGGAAGAGGTGCACTCTTTTGAAAATATCATGAAGCTGCCTGCATATTCCCCTAGAAGTTCACATGAGAAATTATTGAACTGCATGCATAGTCCCCCCTTTGAAGAAGTTCCCTACTCCATTACTTCCCCGCTCCACTGCTACACTGCTCCCCTGTTTCACTGCTCCACTACTTCACTGCTCCAGTGCTTCCCTGCTCCACTTTTCCTTGGCACCACCACCATCCCTCGAGCCACTATCCATCTAGGCACCATCCCACCATCCCACCATCCATCCATCCATCCATCCCACCATCCATCCATCCATCCATCCATCCATCCATCCATCCATCCATCCATCCATCCATCCATCCATCCATCCATCCATCCATCCATCCATCCATCCATCCATCCATCCATCCATCCATCCATCCATCCATCTCTATCCATCCTTCCATCCATCCATCCATCCATCCATCCATCCATCCATCCATCCATCCATCCATCCATCCATCCATCCATCCATCCATCCATCCATCCATCCATCCATCCATCCATCCTGTTAGAGTGAGGATCTTTGGATAGGATAGGAAGTGCTCTGAGAGAATTGGTAGCGGAAGTCTTGGTAGGAACCCTTGATCATAGTGAATGTAAATGAAAAGGTTGATTGATTGATAGAATACAAGCAAGATAAATAGTCCTAACTAGCCATGTACTCTAAGGGGTACATTCCCTTATTATAACTGTTTTACAGGCAGTACAACAGTGACTCTGACTATTACATTTCCTTTCTTGTTACCGAGTCGCTGCTTGTAACCGTGCGTACAGTTTACGCCTGTTGCCATTCCACGATAGTAGGTCAATCGTCGGTCCAGATAGTCAACAGTCGCGACAGTTGACTCTTGCGACTGTTGACTTTCCTGCCTTGATATAGGCTGATCCGACATCTGCTGTTTGCGCTGCTTCGATGGTGCAGGTGCGATGTTGCTGCACCTTCGGGAATGCTTACGATTCCCTTCATACTCCAACACTCCCCTTCATTCCTGGAGGTGCGCCACGTGGCTCTTGTGAACGATTCCGCATAGGTCCGAGCAGTACTGGAACTTATGACGTGGCAGCTTCTTTGTCAGGAAATCAACTGTCATTTCGCCAGTAGGTGAGCTGGACCTTGCCCTTGTCGATTTCGTCCTTGACGAAGAAATATCGCAGGGCGATGTGTTTGGTGCGGTTGACGAAGCCGGGCTTGTGTGCGATTTTGATCGCGCTCTGGTTGTCGCAGAGTAACTTGAAGGACCCGTTCATCGCCGTTTTCGTTTCCTGTAGGAGTTCCGTGAGGTAGAGCCCTTCGCGAACTGCTGCGCTTGCTGCGATGAACTCTGCTTCTGCTGACGAGAGGGCGATGAGCTCCTGCTTCTGTGAGTTCCAGGAGATGGTTCCTGCAGGCTCAAGTTTGAAAATGAAGCCTGTGCGGGACCTTCTGTTTTCTGCGTCCCCCGCGTGATCTGCGTCGACGAAACCAGTAAGCTGCAGGTTAGCCGTTAGGTTCGCCTTGTAGGTGAGGCCGACGTCGGGCGTGGAGATGAAGTACTGTAGGGCTCGACGAAGATCTGTCATGTTTTCCCCTTCAGGTCGGCGCAGGTACTGGGCGAGCTGGCTGGCGACGTAGGAGAGGTCGGGGCGGCATGTGACGGCGGCGAACAGGAGGCAACCGAGCTGCTGCTGGTAGAGACGATGATCTGCTGGGGAGAGCGGAGTGGTGTCCGGCTCGTGGTTGGGAGGAGGAGTGCGGAATGGGGTGGAAATGCCGATGGGAGCGATGCCGAATTTCTTTGCGAGGCTCTCGGCGTACTTCGCGGCAGAGAGGTGGATAGAGTCGGCGCTCTGTGTGACGTTGAGACCGAGGAATTGGGTGACATCGTGGTCGATAGTCACCTCCAGCTTCTCCTGGATCTCGCGCTCGAAGCGATCGAGCAGCTCGGAGTCGTCCCCGGTGTAGAGAAGGTCGTCCACGTAGGCGACGAGCAGGATGAAGTGGCCGCGGGATTCGAGGCGGTACATCCCCTGGTCGTGGGGAAGCTGCTGGAAGCCGAGCTCGATGAGAATGGTGTGAAGATACTGCTGCCACAGGCGCGGCGCCTGCTTGATGCCGTAGAGTGACTTCTGGAGGAGACAGATTGCGTCGCCGTCTTCCTCGAAGGCGTGCGGCTGCTCGACGTAGATTATGGCGTCGACGATCGCGTACAGGAAGGCGTTGGAGACGTCGATCTTGCGTAGAGGGCGCTGCTTGACAGCGGCGATGCACAGGAGAATGCGCACGGACGTGTGACGGCCGACAGGTGCGAAGGTCTGGTTGTAGTCCACGAATTGCGTTTGCTCGAACCCGCGGACGACCCATCGCGCTTTGTATTTGTCGATGGTTCCGTCCGCCAAGGTCTTGATCCTGAAGACCCATTTCCCTGTGAGAATTTTTCTCCCCTTCGCGTGTCGTCGTGGGACCAGCTTCCAGGTTCCTCGTCGCTGAAGAGCAGCGACTTCGGCGGCCAAGGCTGTTCTCCATTTCTCGGCATCGGGTCCGCTGAGGGCCTGGCGAACGGTGGTGGGCTCCACCAGCTGCTGGTTACCCCGGATTGCGACGGCGAGACCGAGGATGCGAAGTCCGGTGAGGTTGGATTCGGCTGCATTGGTTACTTCGACGACGTCGTCGTCGTCATCGCCAGGGACGTCGCGAATCGTGTCAAGGGAGGAGTCGCGAGTTGGGTATTCGTCCATGGGTGAGTGCATTTCTTCACTGGTGTAGTCAAATTGGGCCTGTACTGCTTCGCGGGAATCAGTGTTGGTTGGGAAGAAGGTGGGTGTTTCGAACTGCTCCGTAACGGGTACAAAGGGTGTGTTATCTGCTGCTTCGTTGTCCGGCTGTTCTCCTGCCACGTCGATGTCATCCTCGTCATTGGCGTAGCTGTGCTGTCCCTGAAAAAGGTTGTCTGGCGCTTCTTGTGCAGTGCGGTGCTGGCGGTACAGTGGCAGGGTCAGTCTTTCGTAGAAGATGCAGTCACGTGAACGCGTGAGCTGGTGGGTGGCGAAGTCCAGAATTGTCCAGGCGTAATATTCGGATTCGATTCCGAGGTGAATGCCCCAACGAGCACGGTCTTCAAATTTTCCGGTTCGGGCAGTGTGGGGGCGGTACTGTACCATGCACCCGAAGACTCGCAGCATGCGGGTGTCGGGGTGTTTTCCGGTCCACTCCTTGAAGGGCGAACTGTTGTTGGGCAGGGCCTTCGAGGAGAGCATGTTGTGCAACCGAACTGCGTGCGCCATGGCGTAGGGCCAATACTTGGTTGGCACAGCGGACTGCTTCATGAGGGCTCGCATTTTTGTCGCGAGGCTCCTGTTGCGGCCAAACCCTGCTGCTCGTGAGCGTAGGGGAGTGAGATCATCCTCTTGATGCCTTTCTGTTTGCAGAGGTTCTTGAAGTCCTCTGACATGTACTCCAGGGCTCCGTCTGTCTGGAAGCTTTTCACCTTGTAGCCGTTGCTCTGGGTTTCTGCCATGCTGAGCCAGACCTCGAAGCACTGGTAGGCGAGGTAACGGTCGCTGATGTTTACGGCCCAGACGAAGCGTGTGCCTGCATCGATGAAGGTAAGTGTATACTGCTCCCCACCGACTCCTTTTGCCGTAAGCACCAAGGAGTCGCTGTAAATCTTCTCCAGCAGTTTGTAGCGTTCGGCTCCAGGAATCTTTTCGGCGAAGGGCGTGTGACGGAGCGCGGCTGCCGGACAGACAGAGCAGTTGGGTAGGTCGGTTCTTGGTTTCAGCAGTTTTCCGTCTGGCAGCAACAGTGCGTCTTCCGCAAAGACTTTTGCGTTGATGCAGTTGTTGAGCACCTCGATTGATGGGTGACCCATGCGTTGATGCCAGATGTCACCGTCGGCCCGATATCCCTTGGTGCGAGTGTATAGCTCTTTTTCCCGTGCTAAGATCTCCTCTGCCGTTACCCTCCTAGTTTCTTCCGCAGGTTCGTCGGGCACGGTGACGTGGACCGCCGCTGCTTGGATTGTTGCGCCGCCATACGTCCCGTCGGTATCGCCGATGGTGACAGTGTCGATCGTCACCGGCAGCGTCGGCGGTTGTTCAGGAAATGAGGGTGAGGTCCGCTGGTGGCGATCGTCGGGTTGTGTGATCTCCCCTTCTTCGAAGGGTGTATCGCCGATCGCCACTCCCCTTGTCTCGAGGCGGAGGTAGTCTCTGCCGTCAGTTGTGATGGGAAGCAGATGAGGTCCGTACTCCGTCAGTAGCTCTTCTTCTTCTGCTTCAGGTGCTTTTTCTGTGACTTCTGGTAATTTTACCACTTCGGTTGCCTCTGCTGCAGGTTCTTCGGCGGTGGTTCCCCATCCTGGCGTCTCTGCTGCCACGGCTTCTCCCAGCGCGGTGTTGTCGATGACCTAGCGTACGTCGACCGCGTCCCACCCTTGAGTGGTGTTCCAGCCAGTAGGGTGAGCGACAGATGGCCAGGTTTGTCGCAGGACGTCTGCTTCTCCAGTTTCGGTCGTTGCGATTGCTGTGTCTGACGTGCCTTCTTCTCCTTCTTCCACTGCTTGCGTTTCTGTGCTTCCAGGATTTGTGGTTGAAGCGACGGGCACGACGAGAACGCGGAAGGTACCATCGAGGCCAGGCCGCTGGTAGTCGGTCTCCTCAGGATGACTCCATCGTGGCGGCGACGGGTGTCCAGGTGGGTCAAGGACGAGGATATGCTCGTTGTCTCCAGTGGTTTTTGGTGACTCAAAGTCAAGCACGAACACTCCTTCCACACTGGTTGCCTTCCCGATGAAAATCTCGTTGTAAATCAAGTGCATCTCGTCTTCTGTTGTTTCCAGGCCGACTCCGCACTTCATCAACTGGTGGAGCGACAGAAGGTTGTACCGAAGCTCAGGTACAACAAGTACGTCGCTGATGTGGATGCAGTACCCGGTGTCGTTGGACTCCAGCTGGATCTGCCCGCGGCTATTGGCGTAGATGGTCTGACTGTTGGCAACAGTGATCTCTACTTCGTTGAAGAGCCGTTCACTGTTGAGGATGAAGACGTCCGACGACACCATGTGCTGTCCGCAACAGCTATCCAGATACCAGGTGTTGATTTCTTTTCTTGCCTTGGCGAGGTTGGCGAGCCTTGGAGTGATGTGATGCTCCATGTCGTGCTCGTGTTCGTAATCGTATGTAAAATCCTCATCTTCGTATGCCTCGCGTGCAGGTGGTGACTCCTGGATCCAAGGCGGCATTTCCCAGTCATACTCCATGCGGCCAACTGTCAGCTCGTCGTATGTTGGGTCGTTTTCCTCCTCGTCTTCGACTGACCCTTCAGGACGCTCTTGCGGCGGGTCTGCGAACATGTCTTCCCAGCTCCGGAAGAAGCGGTAGTGTCGGTTCGGACGAGGTGGACCTCGTCGAACCATGCAGGTTAACACCTTGCTCTTGCCTTTGTCGGTTGTGTTCGCAGAGACGCGCGCCGGAGCTTGGGATGTGCTTGCGACGGCAGGCGGCGATACGGTCTGATTGCGCATTGGAGTCCTTCCTTGCTGGTGAGAAGCGGCCCCCTTCTGGTTGTTGTTGTTGCCGTTCAGCTTCCAGCAGTCTTGGATTGTGTGTCCAGTCTTCTTGCAGTACTTGCAGAAGAGTCTTTTCTTGTCTGGTGGGGCTTGTGCGTAGAAAGCGATCTTCTCCTTCTTGTTGCCTCTCTCGTTGTACAGGTCCATTTCCTTCTGCTCGGAGAGGAGCGTTGAGCAGAGGGCGGTTTCGCTGACGGTCCCTTGAGTGCGAAGGAGCGACTTGCACTGGCGCCATTCCGGGCTTAATCCAGCGAGAATGATTGTGACGAACATGTCGTCAGGGAAGTTTCCGCCGCTTTTCCTGAATTGGTCTCTCAGGTTTCTGCAGCGGTTGATGTAGGATCCGGCCTTTTCGCCGGGAAACATCTTGACATTGTTCAGCTGGTTGAGCAGGCGACTGAGCGTCACCGAATCTGTTGCCATGTGGCAGGTGCGCAGGTGTTCCCAGGACTGTTGCGCGGGTGCCCACTCGTTCTTGAATGGGCGGATGCTCAGCTGTTCTTCAGGCGACAGGTTCCTGATCAGGACGGTGAAGGCTAGGAGAGACTCGTTGTAGTACTGCGTCTTCTCCTGAGGTGAGCCGTTGGTTGGGAAGGGGTATGAACCGTCGTAATACATCCAGATCTGGGCGCCTTGAGCTAGTAGTTCGAATTCGAAGCTCCAGGTGTAGAAGTCTTGTCCGTCGAACGGTTTTGTTGTCCTGAGCTTTGACGTGGACAGGAACTTGCTCTGCATTGACGCCATTGTCTCGAGATGCGCCTGTTGTGCTTGAGCAGGTCCTGGAGCTCCGCGATTGTCGAAGGTGAAGGATCGTTCAGATCCAGCTCCTTGAGGATCGGGAGGTCTTCGGGCGTAGCTGGAGCCGTCAATGCTCATTGGCTGATGGCTCTCCAGTGCGCTGATGCGGGAAATCAGCTGCTCGAGGAGTGCTGTGTCCACGGTTGTTGTAGTAGAGGTAGTATTAGTGGACGGATGTACTGGATTCTCTCCAGTTTCTCCGCAGTCGGCGCCTGGCATGTTTGCTTGCCCTTGTAGCAAGTTATATGAAGAGTTACCTTATGAGAAGAGGTCTTTTTAGCAGTTCCTATAATCCAAACTGGCTCTCATACCATGCTAGAGTGAGGATCTTTGGATGGGATAGGAAGTGCTCTGAGAGAATTGGTAGCGGAAGTCTTGGTAGGAACCCTTGATCATAGTGAATGTAAATGAAAAGGTTGATTGATTGATAGAATACAAGCAAGATAAATAGTCCTAACTAGCCATGTACTCTAAGGGGTACATTCCCTTATTATAACTGTTTTACAGGCAGTACAACAGTGACTCTGACTATTACATTTCCTTTCTTGTTACCGAGTCGCTGCTTGTAACCGTGCGTACAGTTTACGCCTGTTGCCATTCCACGATAGTAGGTCAATCGTCGGTCCAGATAGTCAACAGTCGCGACAGTTGACTCTTGCGACTGTTGACTTTCCTGCCTTGATATAGGCTGATCCGACATCTGCTGTTTGCGCTGCTTCGATGGTGGCAGGTGCGATGTTGCTGCACCTTCGGGAATGCTTACGATTCCCTTCATACTCCAACACATCCATCCATCCATCCATCCATCCATCCATCCATCCATCCATCCATCCATCCATCCATCCATCCATCCATCCATCCATCCATCCATCTTTTTTTGTATTCTCAGCACAGCATGGCAGTGTGTGAGCTCTTAATAAACCCAATGGCATCTCTGGTGTCAAATTACACCGTATGTCAACCTAGATTGATACCTCTTGCTAAATCAGGAGCCCAAACTGAAGCAACATGGTTATTCTTCCAACACCTTAATGCGCTAGGTATGCATAATTAGACAGCACTGGCTCTCCCCGACCTACCTGTTGCCATACCTACACCTGAGGCACAGGCTTGAGCTCAATCTTTAAGTCTGGTGCCGAACCAAAGACCGGCAGGTCACCTGGGTCCACATTTGGCACACTGCTGGCACTGGAATTGCCTGCCGAGCCTGCAGCAGAGGCTTGGGCCGCAGCCAGGTCTGGGGAGGACTGGAGTGCGTCGAGAATCATCTGAAGGAACAAGCGATGCCTGTTCAAGCACACATGGGAACAGAGTGCTGTATTCAGATGGGAAATGGGTAACGGTGCAGGTGAGAAAAAGTGGCTGAGAGGGAGGAAATTGGAGTGCAGAGGCTGGTCACGAACAGGAAGGGCTTTGGAAGCGACAAGATGTGAGCACTTGTCTCTCACCATCTGAGGTCGGCTGTAAGCTCTGGATGGAATGCTGTGGCTAGGAGCCTGCCCTGCCGCACCGCCACTGCCACCCGGTCCAACTGGCAGATGACAGAGTCAACAGAGTCAGAACACAACGAGGGAGAGAGATGAACACATGTGACACATAAGCTTGAGGCGGCTCAAAACGAGAACGGGAGGGAAAAAAATAGTCAGCATAGGTTAGGGAGGAGGGGAGCGAGAGAATGGAACAGTTTATCCCCCTTAGGAAGCAATTTGGTTCCTTCCGTAATCAGCACGGGGTACATTAAAACGCTGAGGTTCCAATCCAGAAATTCACCTTCGCTAGAATATCAGCTTCGGAAAGCTCCTGGCCGCTCTGGTCAGGCACGGCCGAAGCAGCGGCTGCAGGCTCGCCCGAACCAGCACTTGCAGGTGCGGCCGGGGCAGCAGGTGCGGCGACGGCAGAGGCATGGTTGGGGAGGGGGTACTCCGCCAGCACCTCTACAGCAGGACCGGTGTGGATGATGGCAGGGGCTCGGATGAACACAGCTCGAAAGGGGGAGGCGGGAGAGGCGTCAGGAGAGGGGTGAGGGGGGGATGGGTGTGATTGGGGAGGGGTGGGTGGTGCTGCTGCTGATGGTGCTGTTGATTCTGATGGGGGTGCTGATGTGGAGGTGGCTTGAAGGGTGTGGTGAGGGAAAGGAAGGAGGGTCTCAAAGCTGTTGATCTGCATGGGGACAGGGGTAGTGGCGAAGAGATTCAGATCAGCCGACAGACACACATGGTGTGGTGGTGGAGCTTAGGGCGTTGTGAGGAAAAGGAGAAGAGATTCAAAGCTGTTGATTTGCAAGGGGGGAAGGGTGCGGATGGAGTGTCTCGAAGCTATTAAACAGCACGTATACATGCACGCATGCACATAAAAGGAAGTTGCAGCTCCTCAACCCCCGCGCGAGCCCCAGACACACCATGCCAACCCAAGAACCCACCTGACAACCCCCCAACTCCTGCCAGCAACCCACCTGGCTGCCAAAGAAGTTACGATGCACGGTGCAGTCGAGTCCCCCCAGCAGTGCCTGCCCTCCTGACTTCTGACCTGCCAGGCAGCAGCCAGGAGGAGATGGAGAGAACCACGTCAGGGAGAGAACGGGAGAGCATGGGAGAATGAGGGAACACGAGAAGAAATGAGTGCCTCCGCAGGCACCATCCAGGAAGGAAACCAAATAAGATGGGATGGGAGCATGGGAGACGTGTGGGGATGCCAATCAGGAGGGAAAGACTGAAACAGCCAGCTCACATACGCAGCTATCCCCACCCCAGCAGCGCTTGGCCTTCTAATGATTGGCAGCACATTTTCAGCCTAGCTAATGGATTGTTGGCCAGGGAGATAACCTCGCCACCTGTTCCAACTTCTACCCAACCGCACCTACTCCCCCATCCCCACCCTCCTCCTCTTCCCCCCCCCTTCCCCACGCACCTAGCGCCTTGTTAGCCAGGAAAATAAGTCCGGCGCACGTTCCCCACACCGGCCGCCCAGAGGCTGCGAACTCCTGCAGCGCGCCGAGCTGGGTGAAGGGGCAGGAGTGAGGGGGAGAGGGAAGGGGGAGTGTGGGAAAGGGTGGGGTAACGAGGAAAAGTGTGAGTCTGTGAATTCCTGCAGTGCGGGAATATGTTTCGAAAGGGCATGGAATGTGCAACTCCGAGCACCTCACCAGTCCGCATCGCTGGGCGAGGTTGGCCATGGTGGTGCTCTCGGGCCCCGCCCGGAATGATGAGCGCCTGCACGCTCCGCAGCTCCGCGTCCGTGCGCACCTCCACGGCCTCCATGCTGAACGCGTTCATGTCCGCCGCGCACCTGCGCAGCGCTGCGGGATAGCGGGAGGGAGCGAGAGTGGGAGGGACGGGGAAAGCAGAAATGCAGGGAGGGAAGGGAATGATGAGCGCCTGCACGGACCGCAGATCCGCGCACCTCAATAGCCTGCATGCTCAACGCGTTCATGTCCGCCGCGCACCTGCGCAGCGCTGCGGAAGGGAGCGGCAAAAGGAGGGACGGACGGAGGGAGGGACGAAGCGAAGGGATGGAAGGGACGCGAATGATGAGCGCCTGAACCGACCGCAGCTCCGCGTCCGTGCGCACCTCCACCGCCTCCATGCTGAATGATTTCATGCCCGCCGCGCACCTGCGCAGAGCTGCGGAGGGAGGGGCGGAAGGAGGGGAGGGGGGAAGCGAAGAGAGGGGAATGATGAGCGCCTGAACCGACCGCAGCTCCGCGTCCGTGCGCACCTCCACCGCCTCCATGCTGACTGCTTTCATGTCCGCCTCCGTAGCGCTGCGGAAGGGAGGGGGCGGAAGGTAGGGCGTCAAGATCCGTGCATCCCATTCCGTGCGTCCGACATAGCCTTCTAGCAGAGGTAAACGCGACAGGAAGCCAAGCTAGCGAGACTGTCAGCTCGATTCCAGCGACGAAGGATCTAGTCAAAACGCGACCTTTGATAAGTCGACAAGTGGGGAAGAAGCAGGATGATACGCGATCTGCGATGTGATCTCTAAGGGTACGTTCCTGGCTAGTGTCAAACTTCCGGTCTTCCCGGGATGACACGAAGCTCGCCCCACAGCTCGCCCCACTTCGGGTCTTCCCTAAAAAATTTGCCCCTGGCTCGGAAAACACGAAGTTTGGCCGGAAGTTTGACACGCGCCAGGAACGTACCCTAAGACGAACGAGCCTTGCAGAGCAATGAGCAACAGACGTTCAATGTCATTCACGCCAACTGATCCCAGACCTGGCACTGACCTGCAACACACCAACTGATCCCAGACGTGGCACTGACCTGCAATGTGCTCGCGGAACGAGCCTTGCAGCGCCAAAACTCCCACTCGAATCAATGGACTTGACGCCGAGCCAGAATCCGCTGCCATGGCGAACGAATAATCGGCGATCGCGCTCGATCAGCTTGAACGCGCCTCGAATCAGCTCAAAAGTCACGAATCCGATTAAAAAGGGCCCGCTCAGGGCCACGGCTAGCTTAAAGTCGCGGATCGGGGTGAGATCGGATCAGTGGAGCTTGTTTCAGATCAATGGCTGGTTTGAATGATCGACTGAACGAATCTGGGTCAGCAATCGCGGAGTCGCGACAGCTTTATAAGCTTTAGAATTGCTATTTGACGAGCAGGAAAGTTAGGGCGCGGAGGCTGGAGCGATGGTGCATTACATTGCGTGCGCGACTCGGTTCAGCTGCGATCGAGGAAGCGTCAAGCGTACGGCATGAACAAAGAAGATGGCCGCGGATTTGTCCCTCCAGCCTAACGGTTGTGTGCACAGATCATGCTGATTGGCTGGCTGATAGTTGAAGGTAATGAAGGAAGAGGAGTTCCCTAGGTCCCTAGGTGTTTGCCGTGAGGTGGATTCTATGATACGATCGTTAGGACGTGTGTGAAACTAATTTTGGCACCAAGTTCGAGCCTGTAGGGGGAGAACCGAACCGCGAGTAGGGTGCGTAGGTTACCCAGTATCGGCATCTTGACAGCGCGACACGTCAACGAATCGCGTGCCCCAAAAGTTCACTCTAGAGTTCCACCTCATCTCCCTACCTGTCCCCGAGCAGACCACCAGCTATAAAGGTGCGAGTGTTTTGCATTTCGCCAACTCAGCATTCCGCCATGTCTCTCATTGCGCTGATGCGCTTCCTTGGAATTCTCATTCCACCACGTCATCGTGCCACGCCAACATCCACGTGGCGAGCTTTGCTTGTGGGGGACCGTTTATGGTTTCGGTCGTGCCTCTATTGGTGCACGAATGTGTTGCGAGTGTCGCACACTCCTCGTACGTGCCTGGAACCACACACGTTCACTACAACGTGCAAAATCACGTTTGCTCATACACTCGAGTCTTGTTCACTTTTCGGGGCTCGAGTTAGGTGGGAGGGGTAGTGAAACACCCATTTGGCGAAAACGTTTGCGAACATTCACGAAATTGGTTACCACCTTAAGTTCGAACCCATTTTAGAACTGCAATTAGTTTCACACACGTCCTTAGAAAGACTAGAAAAGGCATGCTGGTTTGGGCATATCTGTGGTGCTGGTTGTGCCACGGTCACAGGATCACCGATTGGTTCTTTGTCGCTCGCACTTCTCGCGTTCGGGATTCGTTCAAAACGAGTGTCACGCAACCAAAACACTCACGAAGCAAAGAGGGTTCGGGTTTCGTGTCACGTGAGTAGTTCAGCAGGAAAAAATCAACCCGAGGGCTTTTGTGACGAAGCCCTGTTGATGTTTGACACAAGTCCTGATCGCTCTCGACTTGAATTGGAGCTGTGAATTAGTGACAGAATTTCTCGTTATGAGAAACTCGTAGTATTTTACAACCTCGGTTGCAAGTTTATCAGAACCGGGCTGCTTATAATCAGCAAACGAAACATTCCATAACCATCTTCAGCGACGAGCGCAGCGTTCGGGGCTAGTCGGTCGCACGCGACCCCATTTTCAGGTCGCTCGCTTCGCAGCGACTAGCAGCCCCCCCTTCAGCCGAAAGCGAACGTAGCAACGACTGTTCGCGATAAGCGGTAATCGAAAAGGTGCGTGAACCGGCATCGTCCAGCCCCCAAACGAAACACCAAGTAGAATCGCATGCGTCGCGAGCCGACCATTTCGCAGTTTCAATCTCCAATGTTCTTTCGCAAAACTCATTCCTCGTCGCTCGCAGCAATGCGCACCCTTTTCCGTCTGAAGTCATTTGACGGGAAATCGCACTTTCCGCCATTACTCGTTCTCTCTACTCTAATTTTCACCCTATACGCTTTCACCAAGCTCAGTTCAGCCAGCATTCTCGATGGCGGCTGGCGGAAGCATCAGAGCGCCGTACGGGACGTCTGGCGCGAGGAAATTAGCACATGGCGAGGAGAAAAATCTCCCCGCGCGAACCAGGAGCGGGAAGTCCAGCAGGAGTTCGTTCGGCTCGGTTCAGCCCGGTTGAAGGTAGAAGGTTTACACAATGGCGACCTTGAAAGCTCAGTACATGGAGAGATCGAGTCGCTTATTACTCCAAGTGCAGCGTCCTCGCGTCGACGGTCGCTAGGCGGCGAAGAAAATTCTTTCGGTAAGCGCGCCATACGCACTTCAGCACAGCGCCGAGCTGTCGCGGCATACACGCTTCCGTACTGAGTCACGCTTTGTCGTCGCGTTATCTGTCTTCGACAATTTTTTGTGAGTCCACATGTTCATGTGCTCATGTGAGTGTGTCGCAGAGTTCTTTCCCGACGACAGCTGGGAAATCGTCGATCTCCCGTCAAGCGAACCTCCCCAGCCTCTCCCGAAAGATCCCAACGCCGACCCGCCAGATCCGCCCCCCGCGGACTCCCCCCCGCCCCCCGGGGGCTCCCCAGACGACTCGTTCCCCTTTCCGCCGTACCCCGCGCCGTCGCCCGGCGACACCGGCGACAGCCCGTCGCCCGCTCCCGCGCCCGCGTCGCTCCCCAGCCCGCCCGCGGCTCCCGCGCCGGCGGTCACGGGCGGCATAGGAGAAGTCGCGTCCGTGTGGTGCCCGCGCTTGCCGCGACTGCCCGCCGACTACATTGATAACCCTTTGGAGGAGTTTAAAGCCCTCGACGAGGGCATGGCGAAGCTCTACGCGCCGCGCCCCGACGGGCAGTCCATCACTATATGGGTATCGGGACAAGACTCCCCTGTGACTATATCGAGTATGCCGCCCACGTCCGAGCTCTTAAGGCTTGAGACGACCATGCCACAGGTTGAGGCACGGGGGGAGCCGTCAAATCCGCACCTGGACCCGTTTTTCACCTCCTCCCTGCCGCCCTACCCTGTGGTTCCCTTTAACTCTTCGCCACCGCTCGTTGCTGCGCCTCCCCCTCCCCCTCCGCACTCCTTCCCCCCGCCTCCTCCCCCCGAGACCTCCACTCCAGCTTCCGAATTTCCCCCACCTCCTCCTCCCCCGAACGTCCTTCTCGCCTCTCCTCCGCCTAACCCTCCGCCCTTTCCCCTGCTATCGCCACCTCCCCCGGATCCACCCACCCCTGGTGGGGGGAATGTGAGCCAGCCCAGCGGCCCAGGCAGCAGCTTCCCCCTGTGTAACCCGTCACCCATCCGGTGTGTGTTCAGGTTTGTGGGGTATGAAGACAGAGTGCCAACGCTGGACATTAGCAGTGCCTTGGCGGAGGAGGTGATTAGCCCTGCGCTGGTGGTGTTACGCGGTAACCAGACTCGCCGCGTGGTGGCGGCGAACAGTGGCGAGGGGAGGTCGATTTGTGTTCATGTGCCTGATGAGGTTTGCCATGCCACAAGGAGTCAGTTTTATGCTAATGGAGAGGTACGTGTTTGTCGCGTTTCTGTTTTTTTTTGTTCTCTGTTTTCCTGTGATGGTTGATTCTAGTATTTCATTACCTAGTGTGTGTGTGGACTTGTGCAGGTTGTGAGAGTGAGGCAATTCAACCCAATGAGCTTGAAGCAGGCCTTTTCCAACTCATTTGTTCGCCTGGACATCAATTCAGCTCAAGTCGAAGACGAACAGGGGGTTGTCAACATTTTCTCCTCAAAGGTTAAGGATTCTGAGGTTGACACTGTACCATTTATAGAGAGCTGCATTATTTTCCGCTTGAAGGCTTCGTAGCATTTCATTCCCTGCATGGCTAATAGGCATTTAGGATGGCTAGGTGGGAGCTGCTCGCTCTCGTACTTTTATGCTATGTCCATGCTCACATGTATAGTTATGTTAGGTAATTTATTAGTTTGCTTTTGTTTTAGTACAATGGGTTTGACGTTTGTGTGCAATTATCCTGTCACCCATGACTATATTGCGAAAGTGGGAATTCGGTATTAGCTGTGTTTTCCCCAAGTGAGGAGTCTCCAATCGAGCATTCCAGTTTCAATGGGGTGTTGTCCTGTCCTCCCTCGAGATCTGCGGCTCTTCTGCACAGCAGCCTTCGCCTTCCATCCTCCTTCCTCCCCCTCGATTCCTCCTCTGCCTACATACCTCCGTTCTCACCGCCTGGTTGGTTGAAGCTTGCTGTTCCCCGCCGTGAATACACCTTCCTCCGTCCGCTCAACTATACGTGAAGGTTAGCCGGAGACTGGTCAGTCGCGGCGTAGCGTCGGTCAGAATCCATTCTTGCGTTTGAGTGTCGCGTTCTGTGTTTAGTTCCAGCATTGCGAGGTCCTCCTGTCAGGATCACAAAAATTCAACGCAGTTCTTGCTATTATTTTCATATCGACTTCGCGCTTAGGCCAACCAGCAATCATCCCGTTCAGAAACCGTCGGATCTTGTAGAGAACGTGCGAGATCGTTCCCATGATGGTGGCGAAAAGTTGCGGGGTGACATGGCATGGCGCGGCGTGCTTGACCGGATCTGGAGGCGACAAGAGCCGGAAGAGGTAATGGAGCGAAATCAGTAGGGATTCGAGCGTGAAGGCAGACGTAGGAAATGGAACGTGAAAGTGGAAAATGTCGGACATTTTTCTCAATCTATCCCATTCACATCGTCAATCTCCTTCCTCCCATTCTTAATGTCGAATTTCTGGCGAATTTAGCTACGACGGTTCTCGATCACCCATGAAATAACTCTACGCGACGGCGATAGCGTCAATTTTCGTTGCGCGACGACGATATCGTGGATTTCCTTCACGCGACCCTACGATTTCCGTGCGACTAATCCCGTCAATTCCCTCCGCGCCGCAGGTCGACGAGATGGCCGACGCACAAGGCGCGTTCGTAACGCGCGCATTCGAGAAGCTTCTGCGGGAATCCACGGGACGGAAGTTCCAGAAGCTACACCAGGCTCTTAAAGCTTATCTAGGTAAGGGAATCTTAGAAACCAGACCAGGCACTTACAGCCTCTTTACATAAGTACCGGCTTACTAAAATGCTCGCGTTCGTACGGACCATAACAATACCAGCGAGATTTTTGTCATCTCACACTTGCGTCTCCAAACAAGCGACGTTTCAATCCGCAAACATTCGGAATTCAGGCCATCTCCTTTCCGTTTCCTTGTCTTTCCGGCCGTGATCATCTCATGACCGGCAGATCGACCCAAGGGGGAGCATTTGGTTCTGGTCACATCAGCATCACGGTCAGTCGCCGATCTCCCTCTTTCCGTTTCTTCTGTTTTCCCTTCTGCAGCCAACCCCTTACCCTCGTCCCCCCCTCCCCGACTCCCTCCCACTTTTCCCGTCCTATTTGTGTGCGCTTGATCCCTCCAAATGCTTTTATTTCGGACTGCACAGCTTAGCTAGCTTCTCCGTCAGTTGAAACATTTTGCAGCACAGTTCCAACATCCATTGGAAGATTCAAGTCAGCAACCTCTTGCAACAATCTCTCACCAAACGTGCGCCTTGGCCCCACATGCATGAACCATTCGGTCACTCTTTCCCCATCAGGGTTGATCCGCGCTATGGGCTGCCTCAGACAGACGAGCCTGGAGCGGAAATTGTGCCGCAGCCCAACACGGGGGAACAGCTGGCGGGGACGATTCCGCTGGAGCCCGCGGGCAGCGGGGAGGGCAGCGGGCGCGCGCACCCGAACACGGCGAACGCGGCGAATGTGACGGCGGCGGCGGCGATGGCGGAGGCGGGGCACTCGCTGGAAGGTGTAGAGGCGGAGCTCATTCTGTGCCCGCTGCGGCTGGCCATAGAGAGCAAGCAGAGCCGCCTCATGGAAACGGCGCTTGACTGCCTGCATGTGAGTGCTCTCTCCCTCTTCCACCACCCCCCAGCTCTCTTTCCTTCCGTCCCACACCCGCCAACCTACGTCCCCTCCTCCCACCGCTCCCCCCTCGCCACCGCCCTCCTTCCTTCCATCCCCCCCTCCCCTGTTCCCGAATTTTCGGCAAGTCTGCATGTGACTGCGTCCTACCCACTTAGCTCTGTCCTAAGATTGCGTCTCTATCTTCTGTCCATTTGTGAGTGGTTATTGTGAGTCTGTTCCCCTCTGTCCTCTCGTCGTGTAGGCTTATTTCTGTGTCTTTCCCGATGTGCTTGTAACTTGCAGAAACTGATATCATACGGTCACTTGGACGGCGACTGCGGGCTGGAGGGCGGCAAGAACAACAAAGTGCACACAGAGATTTTCCAGCTCGTCTGCTCCTGCGCCGACAACACGGCGCTTGACAGGTGAGCTTACTACTGTGCCTAAGATCCATAATGCATGTCACTTGAGGGGTTGAGGGCGGCAAGAACAACAAAGTGCACACAGAGATCTTCCATCCAGCTGGTGTGCTCCTGTGCCGACATCACAGCGCTTGACAGGTGAGACATGGGATTTGGTAGATAGAGATTGGTGTTGTCCAGTTGCTTGGGGGTATTGGGGGGGTGGGGCAGCAACACGGTGCACACGGAGATCTTCCAGCTCATGTGCTCCTGTGCTGACAACAAAACGCTTGACAGGTGAGGCATGGGGTTGGGTAGAGATCCGCACTGTCCGGTTGCTTAGAGCACTAGGAGGAGTGGGGAGCAACGGGGTGCGTGGAGATATTTCAGCTCGTGTGCTCCTGCCCTGACAACATGGCATTTGACGTTTGAGTGAGGCTGCAGTGGGGCAGAGAGGCTAGGTGTTATTCACTGTATGGGGTTGGAGGGTGGCGAGAGCAACGAGGGGCCGCAGGTCATTAAAGACGCTCTCACGGCTATTGCGCTTTGAGGCTCCTGAAAATAATTTTTCCGTCTCTTCCCCCCGCTGTCCCCCTCCTTCCTCTTTTTTCCTCATCGCCTCAGTGTGGTGCTGCAGGTTATCAAAGTCATCCTCACTGCCACCATTCTTTGATGCGCCTGAAAAGAACTTGTTTCTTCTCCCCCCTTTTTTCTCCCCTTCCCTCCGCTCCTCAGTGTGGTGCTGCAGGTCATCAAAGTCATCCTCACTGCCATCGCCTCCTCCACTTTCCAAGGTACCACGTTCGTCACCGCACCCAACTTCTCACCCCCATCCATAAGATAACTTGGCACCTTCCTCTCTCACTATCTGCTCTACCACGTGCCTTGTCCGCCATCTGCCCACCCCATCTCCTCATCCTCCCATCCTCTCACCTCACATCCCTCGCCAGGCACAAATTCCTGATCTACCCAGGTTTTCTTCCCTTATTCTCCCCTGTCAAGTCCCCATTCTTCATCTCCCATCCCCCTCGTCCGAACTTCCCTATGCGTGCCATCCACCAGTGCATGGAGACTGCTTGATCCTTGCCCTGCGCACGTGCTACAACATTGTGCTGACCAGGTGCGCTCCTGCTTCTCATTCGTGATACCGACACAGCAAATATCGCTGATGCACGGCTTTGAGCTTCAGGCAAGCAGCCCAGGGGTCCCATGGCAGCCCCCGTGCTGGATTTGATACAAATGTCATCTTTGTGTTTTGAGACGTCTCAAAACAGATTTGATACAAATATCATCTTTGCCATTCATCCTATCGCATCACGGCACGGTCGCATGCCTGAGTCTGCTGCTCCCTCTTTCCTCATCCGTCCATCCCCTCCGTGCCCATGGCAGCAAGAGCCAGGTGAACCTGTCAACGGCCAGGGGCACGCTCACTCAGATGCTCAACATCGTCTTCAAACGCATGGAGGCATCAGAGCTAGCTGTGAGTCTTATTAGAAGTAATAGGACATTCTCATGCATTCACGCTCATTCGGATGCTCAACATCGTCTTCAAGCGCATAGAGGCGTCAGAGCTAGCTGTGAGTCTCACTGAGAACTTGCAGTGAGTCTTAAGACGAGCCAGCAGTAGCCTGCACCGTTCATGCCATCATTTGAGGCGTCTCAAGGGGCACGCTCACTCAGATGCTCAGCATCTTGTTTAAACGCATGGAGGCATCAGAGCTAGCGGTGAGTCTTATCGGAGTGTGCAATCAGGGCCCCCATTGAGGCCTAGCCGTGAGTTCCATCAGAGGTAGCAGTAGTACATTCCCCCGCATCCCACCCTACTCGTCCCCCCCACCCCTCACGAGTGCAGAGCGCCCCTCAGCGCCCCCACGCCTACCCCACACCCACCAAGCCCTCCGGGGAGGGGCCTTCCTCAGACGAACCTGCTGCTGCCGCCGCTGGTGACGCTGCTGCTGGCGGTGATGGTGGTAGTGCTGCTGCTGCTGCTGCAGTGGAGGGAACGGAAGGGAAGGAGGGGGGTGGGGAGGGAGAGGAGGAGGGGGAGGTTGAGGGCAACGGGGAGAGGGACGAGAGAGCGGGAGTACAGGAGGAGCTAAAAGTCCTGGAGGGGCCGCAACCCAGTATAGAGGCTCTAGATGCTGTGCTAAGTAAAGCACTTAGGCCGCAGGGAGGGGGTGCAGGGGATGATGCTGCTGGGGGTGGTGGTGGTGGTGAGGGTGGTGAAGGGGAGGGAGGTGCTGGGACTGCAGGGGAGGGTGGTGGAGAGGAGGCAGCTGGGGCGACCCCTGCTGCCCCGAAGTGAGTGAATGTGAGATGCGGTTTGGTTTGTGAGAGTTGTTTGTGGTGGTGGTGAGAGTTGTTTGTGGTGGTGGTGAGAGTGGTGAAGGGGAGGGGCGTGCTGCTGGGTCGGCAGGGGAGGGTGGGGGCGGAGAAGAGGGAGCTGGGGCGACCCCTGCTGCTCCGATCCGAATTGAGTGAAGTGAAGCTGAGATGTGGTGTGGTCTGTGATTGTATGGGGAGTTGTGTTGTGGTGAGTCGTGACGGTATGCATGCATGTGTGTTTACGTTTTGCAACCCAACAAGTCGACTGGCCAAGTTGACTGACAACCTCCCACCCTGCCATATCATCCTCCCCACCTTGCCACCCACCACAGGGGCATCGATCTGAGCCTGCTGGCACTGGCACAGAGAGACGCGCTGCTGGTGTTCCGCACGCTGTGCAAGATGGCCATGAAGGACGGCACTGAGGACCTCGTTCTGCGCACCAAGGCTCTTTCCCTCCAGTTGCTGCAGGTGGGTGGGTTGTCGGGAGGCAGGTGGGGTTGCCAGCAGCACGTGTTGGGCTGGTAATCAGGTGCTGGGTTGCGCATCAAGGCACTCTCGTGCAACCCGCTGGTGTTCCGCACGCTGTGCAAGATGGCCATGAAGGACGGCACTGAGGACCTTGTGCTGCGCACCAAAGCTCTCTCTCTGCAGCTGCTGCAGGTGGGTGGGTTGTCAATCAGGTGTTGGGGGACAATTGCCCTATGCTGCTCAAGGAACCACACCCCTTTCCAGTGTATGAGCGGGCGGTGCAGCGTATGAGCGGGCGGTGCAGCGTATGAGCGGGCGGTGCAGCGTATGTGTGGGCGGTGCAGCGTATGAGCGGGCGGTGCAGCGTACGAGCGCGTGGTGATGCGCTCGTGCCAACCACTGCCCACTCTTCCCCCACTCCCCCAACCCCCTCCCTCCACCAGGGTCTCGTAGACTCATTAAGCCGCGAGTTCACGGTCAACTTCGCCTTCCTTAACTCCATTAAGATGTACCTCTGCTATGCGCTCGTGCCCTCGTGCCCACTTTTCCCAATAACCCCCTTGGTCCCCCCCCACTCCTCCCTCCTTGCAGGGTCTGCTAGAGTCAGTGAGCCGGGAATTCACGCTCAACTTTGCCTTCCTCGACTCCATCAAGATGTACCTCTGCTACGCGCTCGAGCGCGCAGCTGTCTCCCCCTCCGACCGAATCCACACTCTCGCCTGCGCCATCTTCGCCACACTCATCCAGCGCTTCCGCGAGTCTCACCCTCTCTCTCCCTCTCCTGCTTCCCCTCATTCACACCCCTCCGAATCGCACTGTCCTCCCGCCTCAACCCCTCATTCCAGGGTCTGCTAGAATCCGTAAGCCGGGAGTTCACGCTCAACTTTGCCTTCCTCGACTCCATCAAGATGTACCTCTGCTACGCGCTCGTGCGCGCAGCCGTCTCCCCCTCCGACCGCATCCACGGCCTCGCCTGCGCCATCTTCGCCACACTCATTCAGCGCTTCCGCGAGTCTCTTAAAGCCGAGATCGGGCTCTTCTTCCCCCTCGTCGTCCTCCGGTCGCTAGACTCCCCGGATATCTCCCCGACTCAGCGCCTGGGGCTGCTGAGAGTGTTGGAGAGGCTCACAGCCGATGCGCAACTGCTGGCTGATGTGTTTGTGAATTACGACTGTGATTTGGACGCATCGAATCTGTTCGAGCGTATGGTTACATCTCTGGAGCGGCTTGCGCAGATGCCTGTTGTGGGGGTTGCGGGCGGGGGCGCAGGGGCGGGGGGAGCGGGCGCGGGAGGGGAGGGTGGGGCGGCGTTGGTAGCGGCTGTGAAGCTAGCAGCGTTGCAGTGCTTGGTGAACGTGGTTCATGCGTTGGATACTTGGTATGGGAAGGATAAGCCGCCTGCCCCGGCAGTGCCAGCAGCTGGGGAGAAGGAGGAGGAAGGGGACGAGTGGAAGGCGGAGGGGTTGGGAGCGGTTGAGGAGGAGGATGATGAGGAGGAGGAGAGGGAGGGGCGGGTGGCGAAGTGGGCAGCAGAAGAGTCGCAGGCTGATCAGTTTGGGCGGGCTAAGGCGCAGAAGGCAGCGTTGGAAACTGCTGTGGAAAAGGTAGGCAGAGCGTTGCATATTGTTTCAGGTAATGGTGGGAGTATGAGCAGCAACAGTTGACAGTTGAGTCAGAGTCGCAGGCAGATCAGTTTGGACGGGCTAAGGCGCAGAAGGCAGCATTGAAAACTGCTGTGGAAAAGGTAGGAGGAGCGTTGCATATTGTTTCAGGTAATGGTGGGGAGTTGAACAACAGCAGTCAGGTCAGGTCAGATCAGGTCTCACTTGGGTCAGTTTGGGTGGGACAAGGCGCAGAAACGTAGAATTGGAAGGTGCATCCTCACCTCTGTCCACCCCTCTCCACCCTTCCCCACCCTCCCCTACCCTACACAGTTCAACATGAAGCCAGAGAAGGGGCTGGCATTCCTGCGAGCACGAGGGCTGCTGGCTGCCGACGCTGCTGCCACGGCTGAGTTCCTGCGCTCCACTCCTGGGCTCGATAAGGTGAGAGGTGGTGTAGAACGGTGTGAGAGTGTGAGACGGTGAAAAGAGCTGGTGGATGCCAGATCAGCATGGTTGCGGAGGCGAGTGAGAGTTTTCAAGGTGGTGGGGAACAGCTAGCATTGCCATGTGCGGCACGGCCAGCACGTAATGCGACACGCGCGCGCGCGTGTGCACACACACACACACACACACACACGCACACGCACACACACACACACACACACACACACACACACACACACACACACACACACACACACACACACAGGCGACTACCAGGGCCACCACGACGATTACCATCTGGCAGTGATGCACGCATACGTCCACTCCCTGACTCACCACATTCCACCTCTTCTCCTGATTCTTCTGTGTGTATGGTGTGTGTCATGTGCGTGCATCTGCCCCACCAGACGGCCATAGGGGACTACCTGGGCCATCACGACGACTACCACCTGGCAGTGATGCACGCCTACGTGGACGGCATCCCCTTCCACTCCTCGATTCCCTTTCTCACCACAGTCCTCCTCTTCCCATGTGTCTACTTTGTGCCTGTCTCGAGTGTGCATCGTGTCTGTGTCTCTCTCCCATGTCCAGACGGCCATAGGGGACTACCTGGGCCATCACGACGACTACCACCTGGCAGTGATGCACGCCTACGTGGACGGCATCCCCTTCCACTCCCCGATTCCCTTTCTCACCACAGTCCTCCTCTTCCCATGTGTCTACTTTGTGCCTGTCTCGAGTGTGCATCGTGTCTGTGTCTCTCTCCCATGTCCAGACGGCCATAGGGGACTACCTGGGCCATCACGACGACTACCACCTGGAGGTGATGCACGCATACGTGGACGGAATCCCCTTCCACGGCACCTCCTTCGACCACGCCATCCGCCTCTTCCTCAAGGGCTTCCGCCTGCCAGGCGAGGCGCAGAAGATCGACCGGATCATGGAGAAGTTTGCCGAGAAGTGAGTGTGCTTGAGAAGTGGGTTTGGGCGACTGATTCTGCTGCCAAGTCTAAGAGCTCCTTCCTCCACGGCTTCTGCCTCCCGGGCGAGGAGCAGAAGATCGATCGCATCATGGAGAAGTTTGCCGAGAAGTGAGTAGTCAACTGAGGAGGGAATGAGTATGGTTGACAAGTGAGTGAAGGGGATCGTCAGAGCTTTGAGGGCGTGCCTCTGGCAATGAGGGGCTTCCGCCTTCCAGAGGAGGAGGCTCAGAAAGGCGATGTCATTGTGGAGTAGTATGCAGAGAAGTGAGTCTGGAGGAGAGAGACGACCCCTTGGAGTAGTATGCTGGTTGATTAGTTGATCTACAAGGGGCCTCAAGGGGCGTTCGTGTCTGGAGAAGGCGAAGTTGTCCAACCCGGGGGTTATTTGAAAGCACCGGCAACCGTACGTGTTTGAGTACACAGTGATCATGCTCAACACCGATGCACAAAACCCTGACTCTCCGTCCACCCCTTCCCTTGTCCCCGCTCCCAACCACCAAACCCTTCCAGACCTCAGGTACTGCAAGGACAACCTGGGTGCATTCAAAACGGCAGACAGCGCATACTTGCAAGATGTGCGCATTCATCATGCTCAACACAGACGCCCACAACCTCTTTGTGTCCTCTCCCTTTATCTTCCAACTTCCCCACAACCACCACTGCAACCTTCCCCACCTGCAGGTACTGCAAGGACAACCCGGGAGTATTCAAAACAGCGGACAGCGCATATGTTCTCGCATACGCAGTGATCATGCTCAACACAGACGCGCACAACCCCGTGGTGACGGCCAAGATGACCAAAGCCGACTTCGTGCGCATCAACTCCTCCCTCGAGGGCGAGGAGAGCGCGCCTAAGGAGCTCCTAGAGGCTATTTATGACTCAATAGTCTCTGAGGAGATTAAACTAAGGGATGACGGCGGTCCGGGGAGTGCGGGAGGGGGCGGGGGAGCGGGCGGGAAGGAGAAAGGGCAGCTGGTGACGGTGCTGAATCTGGCGTCGGGGCATAAGAGAAGCGCTGGGGACATGCGGAAGGAGAGCGACGACATAATCAAGCGCACGCAGGCGATTGTGAGGCGAGGGCGCGTGCAGCGAGGGGTGTTCCACTCCGCTGCCCACGCTGACCTCGCTAGGCCCATGCTGGAAGCGGTGGGATGGCCGCTCGTAGCCACGTTTGCAGTGACCATGGAGGAAGGGCCTTCGGGAGACAGTGCTGCTGCACTGGCTGCTCTAGCTGCAGGGGCCACAGGGGGTGCAGGGGGTGCAGGGGTTGCTGCAGGGCCGAAGAGCCTAGTGGTTGTGTGCATGGACGGGCTTCGCTGTGCGATTCACCTGGCGTTTCTCCTGGGCATGGAGACTCTCCGCTACGCGCTGCTGACCTCGCTCGTGCGCTTCACCTTCCTGCACGCGCCGAGGGAGCTCCGGGTGAAGAACCTAGAGGCGATCCGCACTCTGCTAGCGATCGCAGAGCAGGAGCCTGAGGCGCTGCAGGACACGTGGAATGCTGTGCTGGAGTGCGTGTCCAGGCTGGAGCACGTTGCCACGTCACCTGCCATGCTGGCGGTGCTGGGCGCGCCGCCCGCGCCGGTCGCCGTGAGGGAGGCACTGCTGGGAGGCGTGGAGGAGCTGGCAGGGAAGCCTCTGGAGCAGGTAAGGCGGGGTGGAGGGGGGGTGGAAAGGGCGGGGGGAAGCACTGGGGCGGGTGGGTGGAGTGAAGGGGCTTAGAGGGCGGCGATGGCCGTGAGGGAGGCGCTGCTGGGAGGAGTGGAGGAGCTGGCAGGGAAGCCGCTGGAGCAGGTAAGAGGATGGGGGGCGGGGGGGTGGGAAGCGCTGGGGCGGGTGGGTGAGGGAGGCGCTGCTGGGAGCAGTGGGAGGCGTGGAGGAGCTGGCAGGGAAACTGCTGCAGGTGGGTGAGGGGGGGCGCCGGTGGGTACATGGGGTGTGGTTGGGTTGGTCAGGGCAGGAGGAAACTGCTGCAGGTGGGTGAGGGGGGGCGCCGGTGGCTGTGAGGGAGGCGCTGCTGGGAGGCATGGAGGAGCTGGCAGGGAAGCCACTGGAGCAGGCGTGTTGGGGGGGAAAGAGAACCGTCTGCTAGTGTGTGGGGTTGAGACTGTGGTCGAGTCCTTCATCGCCCACTCTATGCACCCTCCTCGCCCCCCTTCCCCCTCACCTTCAGGTGTTTGTGGTGAGCTCGCGTCTCCCCTCAGACGCAGTGGTGGAGTTCTTCATCGCTCTCTGTGGTGTGTCCGCCGAGGAGCTCCGCCAGTCACCCCCGCGGGTCTTCTCGCTGCAGAAGATAGTGGAGATCTCTTACTACAACATGACTCGCATTCGCATGGTGCGTGTGAGGTGGCCCAGTGCCCTTTGAATGGTGTATGTGTGTGTGGGTGGTTCCTCTCGCTGCAGAAGATTGTGGAGATCTCCTACTACAACATGACTCGCATCCGCATGGTGGGTGTGGGTGGTTTGGGGTGTCATTTGAATGGTGCTTGTGGGTGGGGTATGTGAGTGCACTCCGAGGCCCCCACTGGCGGGTCTTCTCGCTGCAGAAGATCGTCGAGATCTCCTACTACAACATGACTCGCATCCGCATGGTGGGTGTGATGAGGTGGAAGCATGTCTGTGTGGGTTGGGCTCACAAGGTAGTCATCTGGGTTCTCTCTGTACAGAAGATCATCGAGATCTCCTACTACAACATGACGCGCATTCGCATGGTGCATTGCGAGTAGATGCACTCACCTTGAGTGCAAGGGCACCACAGGTTAGTGGGTGTTCTCGCTGCAGAAAATTGTAGAGATCTCCTACTACAACATGACTCGCATCCGCATGGTGCCTGCGAGGTGGCATCTGCATGTTGTGTGCACATGGTGTGCGCGTGAGGTGGGGCACATGAGTGCACTGGTGGGAGTCACCTCGCTTGGGGAATAGGGCATGTCTTGCAATGGCATGTGGTCGGTGTCAGTGCTGGAAGTACACTTCATCACGGCGGGCCAGAATCCCGACGAGCACGTCGCCATGTACGCCGTCGACTCCATCCGCCAGCTGGCAACTCAACTCAACCACCTCAAGCGAACGCGTCTGGCCGGTGCTACCTCCGTTTTGAGGCGCTCAACCCCTCAGATTCACCCCGTTTTCCCCTTTCCCCCTTCGCCTTTCCTTTCCTCCCCCCTTGTCTGCGCAGATGTGGGCGCGCATCTGGCAGTGCTGGCGGTTTTATCACGCCGCCGAGCCATTTGTGCAATCCTCCCTTTCATTCCCCACTGTCCCTCTCCGTGCAGGTGTGGGCACGCATCTGGTCGGTGCTAGCAATCCATTTCATCACGGCGGGTCAGAACCCCGACGAGCCATGAGCTGCCATGTGTGCAGTCCTCCCCCTCATTCCCCCCCTTCCCCTCCTTCCCCCTGCAGGTGTGGGCGCGCATCTGGTCGGTGCTAGCAATCAATTTCATCACGGCGGGGCAGAACCCCGACGCGCCAAGGATCCCCATGTATGCCCCCCCTTCATTCCCTCCACCGCTCCCCTCTCTCCGTGCAGGTGTGGGCGCGCATCTGGTCGGTGCTGGCAATCCATTTCATCACGGCGGGGCAGAACCCCGACGAGCACGTGGCCATGTACGCCGTCGACTCCATCCGCCAGCTGGCGCTGAAATATCTCGAGCGCGCTGAGCTGGCGCGCTTCACCTTCCAGAACGACATCCTGAAGCCGTTTGTGGTGCTCATGCGCACGAGCCGCAGCGAGAAGACAAGGGAGCTTATCGTTCAGTGCGTTGTGCAGGTAAGGGTTTTGCATTGCGCGTTGTTCGATATGGGTGTCACATGTCTGTGTGGGCGTGTTTGTGGTGCTCATGCGCACGAGCCGGAGCGAGAAAACAAGACGACTCATTGTGCAGTGTGTGGTGCAGGTATGAATCGTTCCATGTCTGTCTGTGTGCGCATGGTTGTGTGCATGTGTTTGCGGTGCTCATGCGCACGAGCTGCAGCGAGAAAACAAGAGAGCTGATTGTGCAGTGCGTCGTGCAGGTAAGGGTCGTCACAACTGTTGTTCATGATTCTCACTCTGCTGCCACTGACAGCCTCTCAAGCCTCGCATCTCATCCCCCCTTCCCCCCCTCACCTCCCACGCGTCCCTCCTCCCACTCCTCTTTCCCTCGGACAGATGATAAAGGTGAAGGTGGCCGGTATCAAGAGCGGGTGGCGCAGCGTGTTCATGGTGCTCACCACTGCTGCCACTGACAGCCACGAGCCCATCGTGGAGAGCGCGTTTGAGACCGTGGAGCAGGGTGAGTGGGGCAGGGAGATTGGGGCAGGGTGTGTTGAAGTGAGCCGAACATAACATGCTGGGGGTCTTTCTGTTCGTATAGCTTGAGAGGTGTGCTGCCACAAACAGCCACGAGCCCATTGTGGAGAGCGCCTTCGAGACCGTGGAGCAGAGTGAGTTTACGTGAATGTAGGGTGAGTAGAGGGCAGAGGCTGGGGAGCACATTCAGCAGCAGTTAGGAGACTGCCTCATGCCCTCCTTCCGTCCACACCTGTCATTGCCTTCTCTCCTCCCCCCAATGTCTGTCTCTTCCAACCCCCACCCTACCGCAGTTGTTCTTGAGCATTTCGAGCAGGTGATAGGTGATTGCTTCATGGACTGCGTCAACTGCCATATGGCCTTCACACCCCTCCTTGCCACCTCTCTTCCCCATCTGCCTCTTCCGTCTCCCCTCTCATTGCAGTGGTACTGGAGCATTTCGAGCAGGTGATAGGAGATTGCTTCATGGACTGCGTGAACTGCCTCATGGCCTTTGCCAACAACGTGCTCGTCCCCCGCATCTCTCTCAAAGCCATTGCACTCCTCCGAATCTGCGAGGACCGCTTAGCCGAGGGCCGGGTCCCAGGAGGCGCCCTGCGCCCCGTGAATGAAGGCGAGAAGATGAGCGACAACGAGGTGGCGGAGTATTACTGGTTCCCGATGCTGGCTGGTTTGTCCGAGCTGACTTCCGACCCTCGCCCGGAGGTTCGGAGCTGCGGCGTGGAGGTCCTGTTCGATCTGCTTAGGGAGCGGGGGCATAAGTTCTCGACGCGGTTCTGGGAGAGTGTGTTTGAGAGGGTGCTGTTCCCGATCTTTGACTATGTGAGGCATGCCGGCACGGATGGGGAGAGGCCGCCTCCTACGGATTTGTGGCTGAGGGACACGTCCATTCACTGCCTGCACCTGCTCTGCGACCTCTTCTGTGACTTCTATAAGGTGCGTTGGTAGGGTTTTAGGTTCGTTACGGTGTGGTGTGTGGCTAGTACGGTGGTCGCTTCAGGAGCAAGTAGTGTAGCCATTCCTTGGATTGGAAAGGCGAGATTCCCCAAACAGTACCCTCTGAGTTCGCTCTTACACCTCCATCCACTGCCTGCACCATGCGCTGCTGGGTCTGCCCCTGCAGTATCTGAGGAAACTGTTCCCTCCCCATCCCTCCGCTCCTTTCTCCCGCACCCCTCAGGACGTGGCCTTCATCCTGCCATCTCTCCTCGGCCTCCTGCTCGACTGTGCCACGCGCCCAGACCAGTCACTGGCGGCCATAGCGGTGGGAGCTCAGCTCAGGCTTATCGACAGGGGGGCACCACTATTCTCTTCCCGTGACTGGGCCGTGCTACTGGACAGCCTCAGGTGGGAGTGACTTGACATCCTCAGGTGTGGTGCTTGGTTGAGCATGGCAATGGGTAAATAGAGGGGGGCGTGTGGGGATGGGAGTGGGACCAGTTGCTGGCGGCCATAGCGGTGGGAGCACAGCTGAGGCTCATTGACCGGAGGGTGCCGCTTTTCTCCTCCCGTGACTGGGCCGTGCTGCTGGACAGCCTCAGGTGGGTTGTCGTTGTGTGTGGTTGGTAAAGTTTGAACAGCCTCAGGCGGGGAATACTGGGGTGGGAGCACAGCTCAGGCTCATTGACAGGGGGGCGCCGCTCTTCTCCTCCCGTGACTGGGCCGTGCTGCTTGATAGCCTCAGGTGGGTTGCTGTGTGGAGTGGATCCGGTGAAGTCTGACCGAACTGCCTCGGGTGGAGTACCGTGTGGGATAGAGTTTATTGAACCAGCCGCGGTTTGACCACCCTTCCACATGCCACCCCACCCCACCGGCAGTTTGAGCACTCGCCCCATCGAGCTCCTTGCAATCACCGAAGCCTCTCTCGCTGCCTCCTCCATGCGTCTTACCCCCGCACCACCTTCTTTCCTCCCCACCCTACTCATCCCCAACCTACCCCTCCCCACCCTACCCCACCCCACCGCAGAGTTGCCACGCTAACCACTCGCCCCACCGAGCTCCTTGCAATCACCGAAGCCTCTCTCGCTGCCTCTGCCACTGCCGCAGCCAACGCCGCTGCTGCTGCTGGCGACACTGCTGCCGCCACCGCCGCCACTGCCGCTGCCACCGCTGAGCTGTCATTGGACAATGCTGTGCTGGAATCTGGCGCTGCTGACCTGGCAGATCACGCGTCAGGCTCGGTGATCCGTACCAAGATTCCCACTGGTGACGTGGCGACAAGCCTGATGGGACCGAACCTGAGTGAGAGGTTCGTGGCCGCCCCTGGAGGTGTGACTGTAGCCGAGCAAGTGACCGAAGTGGAGGTGACTGTAACGAATGGAGGGGCGGAGGGGGGAGGGGAGGGAGGAGAGGGTAATGGGGTGGTGGACAGGAGTGGGGCGGATGAGGAGGAGGGTGCTGGTGGGGAGGGGAAGGGCGAGGAAGAAGGGAAGGTGGAAGGGAGTGGAGAGGGGTTGGCGAACGGAGAGGGGTCTGCCATCAAGCCTTCAGGTGGGACCTCGCTCTCTCCCCCTCCCCTGTCCCACTGACGTCAGGCAAGTAGCACTTCCCAGTCCCTGGCTCCCACTTCATGTTGCTGGTACTACTTGCCTGTCCTACTCCCTAGCCCCACTCCTCCTTCCCATACTCCCTCCACAGCATCAGGAGAGGGGGACAACTTTGGCAAGCGGCTGATGGACACGCTGCTGTTGATGGTGGTGCTACTATGCTCGCACCCATGCCCTCCCACTCCCTGGCCCCAATATCCTCCCCCCCACTATCCTCCCCCCATCTCAGCATCAGGAGAGGGGGACAACTTTGGCAAGCGGCTGATGGACACACTGCTGCTGCGCAACCTCTCCATGGCTCTGGGAGGTGCACCCACACCTGCTGCTGCCGGCAGTGGCAGCATCTGGTCGCGAGCGTCCAACGCCAGTGACGCCGCGCTGGCCTCTGCTGTGGAGTCCGAGGTGAGTCTTGACTTGATGTTCCAAGAGGTTAGCTAGTGCCTCGTATTCAAAGTCTCTCCATGGCGCACCCACACCTGCTGCTGGGAGTGGCAGCATTTGGTCGCGGGCATCCAACGCCAGCGAGTGTGTGCTTGCACGTGCTACCCTACCCACTGCCCTTCGCACCCACTGCCCTTCGCACCCACTGCCCTTCGCACCCACTGCCCTTTGCACCCACTGCCCTTCGCACCCACTGCCCTTTGCACCCACTGCCCTTTGCACCCACTGCCCTTCATATGATTTTCCTATCTCCCCTGTTTGTCCCCACAGGAGCAAGGCGAGGGGGCCAAGGAGGAGGAGGAGGAGGAAGAGGAGGAGGAGGAGGCATCAGCCTTCCCCGTGGCAGACCCTGTGCGGGTCAAGTGCTACACGCAGCTGCTGCTGCTGGGGGCGCTTAATCAACTGCAGGTGGGTATGGGATGGCTTGTATGGGGACGCCCCATTAGGAGCTCTGGCAGTGCGTGCGGGCATTCCGAACTGATGCTCGTGATGTCTATTGTTCAGTCGGCATTCAGTAGGAGCTCCCGTTTGATACTCTCTCCGTGTGCCCTCCCCACCTCTCACCCCACCTCTCACCCCACCTCTCACCCCACCTCTCACCCCACCTCTCACCCCACCTCTCACCCCACCTCTCACCCCACCTTTCACCCCACCTCTCGCCCCACCTCTCACCCCTCTCGCCCCACCTCTCGCCCCACCAGGAGAAGCACTGGCAGCGGCTGCGGGCGGCGCACCGGCGGCAGCTGTTGGACTGTATCGCCACCAGCATTGACTTTGCCGCCCGCTTCAACTCCGACACGCACCTGCGCATGCGCATCCAAATGCTGCCGCCCGAACGGTGCGCTCCTTCTCATGCTTTTGCAAGATCCCTGACTTCTTTGCTTGCTGCCGTGTCGGTTGTTGCCCAGTGTTCTCTCAAGTGCTGCCTCAACGATCCTACTTTCCCCCTCTCTCCTGTCCATGCCTTGTCCCTCAACCCCCCCTCCCCCCTCCTCTTAACCCCACCCCTACAGCCCTTCTGCGCTGCCTCAACAACCCTGTTCTCTCCCTCCCACTGTTGTCTTCTCCCCCTACACCCCCGCGCCCTCTTTCCCCTCCAACCAGCCCTCCGCCATCCCTCCTTCGCCAGGAGGTGACAGCAACGCAGCTGTACCTAATTTTGCTGCTCGGCTGCCTCAACGACCCCACTCTCTCCTCCCTCTCTACCGTGCCTTGTCTCCCAATCCCCACCCTATCCCCGCGCTCCCTCCCAAAAGCCCGCCCCCTTCCCTCCTTCGCCAGGAGGTGACAGCAACACAACTGTACCTGATTGTGCTGCTGCGCTCCCTCAACGACCCTGCTTTCTTCCCCCTCCCACCTTGCTGTGTTCTTCTCCTCCCCGCCCTCCCCACCCCACCCCCGTGTTTCCCCTTCGAACAGCCCGCCCCCTTCCCTCCTTCGCCAGGAGGTGACAGCAACGCAGCTGTACCTTATAGCGCTGCTGCGCTGCCTCAACAACTCAGCACTCCCCCTCCTCCCGACCATTTCTCGTCCCCTACCCCCCAACCTGTGTTTCCCCTCCAAACAGCCCTCCTCCGTCCCTCCTTCGCCAGGAGGTGACAGCAACGCAGCTCTACCTGATCGTGCTCCTGCGCTGCCTCAACGACCCGGCAGCAGCGCTGCTCCCACCAGCCCTCTCCTCCCAGATGCTGCTGCAGTCTGGTGCAGCCCATGGCGATGGCGCGGGGGAGGAGGAAGAGCACGTACATGGGAAGACAACTCCTGGCGCAGCAGCAGCAGCAGAAGCAGCGCAAGGGGAAAGAGCAGCAAGTGTCGGGGCGAACGGAGGGGTGGGAGCAGCAGGGGGTGGGGGAGAAGGAGAGGGGGAAGAGGAGGAGGATGAGGGGAGGCGGTTGGGGGAGGAGGCGGAGGAGCAGTTGTTGCGGGTGTGTGGGAGGGTGCTGGAGATGTCGTCTCGCCTTCAGCCCAACACCGGGCAGGCCGTAGAGGCCGAGGTGCATCGCCTGCTGGCGCTGAGGGCACCTGTTGTGGCCAGAGTAAGTGAGAGAGGAAGGGAGTGAACGGTTGAGGGGGTGAGGGAGGGAGGGAAATGTGTGGGAGGGTGCTTGAGATGTTGTCTCGCCTGCAGCCCAACACCGGGCAGGCTGTGGAGGCTGAGGTTCATCGCCTGCTGGCCCTCCGTGCGCCTGTTGTAGCCAGAGTGAGTAAGAGATGGATTGAGGGGGGTGTGGTAGTGAATGAGGGAGGGTGCTGGAGATGTCTTCCCGTCTGCAGCCCAACACCGGGCAGGCTGTGGAGGCTGAGGTTCATCGCCTGCTGGCCCTCCGTGCGCCTGTTGTTGCCAGAGTAAGTGTGGGAGGGAGCGAGTACGGGAGGGGAGGGGTGGGAATAGGGGAGGGTGTGTGGGAGGGTGCTGGAGATGTCGTCTCGCCTGCAGCCCAACACCGGGCAGGCCGTGGAAGCAGAGGTGCATCGTCTGCTGGCGCTGAGGGCGCCTGTTGTGGCCAGCGTGAGTGAGAGAGGGAGGGAGGGAGTGAGGGGGTGAATTAGAGAGGGAGGGAGGGTTGAGGGAGGGAAGAGGTGGGAGGGGAAGGGGGGAAGGGGAGAGGGAGGATGGGGAGGATGCAAGAGTGCAGGGAGGCTAGATGGATATTAACATGCGATCTTTGTTTGGGTTGCTTCCTTGCCCCATCGATTGTCTATGAACTGCTTCCCCCCCCCGCCCCCCTCCCCACCCATTTTGTTCACTAGTGCTTATTGCTCCCTCTTTTCTTTTCCCTCTCCTCATGCTCTCGCCTCTGGTCCCTTACTCTATGAAGTCACTGTTTGGAACACCTCAGAAAGCGTCTCAAAAGTGTCTCATGTGTTCCCATCTCCGCCCTCTTTTCCACACAATCCCTTGGTCATCATCACTTGAAAATCACATGTGTGCTCCGTTATATTCTGACTGCGTCACACCATGTTCTGTGCTGCACTATCATCCCGCCAGGTGCTGTCAGCGCTGAGTCAGATGGACGTGGCGCGCTTCGAGCGCTTTGTGCCGCACCTCTACCCGCACTGCACCCGCCTCATCTGCTCTGACCAGGTACGGTGTCCCCCAGTAGGTCCCTTACAGGTACCACCTCCCTCAGTTGCTCGCTTTGAGCGCTTTGTGCCGCACCTCTACCCGCACTGCACCCGCCTCATCTGCTCTGACCAGGTACCACCTTCCCAGTAGGTCCTTTCTGAGTACCACTTCCCACAGTATATCTTATCCCGATTCTCTCCTGCATCAACTGTTTCCGGATTCCCGACTCATCTGCTTCATAGCTCGTGTTGCTCCCCCTCATCCCTCCTCTTCCCCTCCCTGCTGCTCTCCCCTCCTGTCCTCCCTTGCTCATCTGTTTGCCTTCCCCCCTCACACCTCTTGCTCCTTCCTTTCACCCTTTCCTGTGCATCTCCCACCAACCAGGTGGAGGTGAGGAAAGCCCTAGGCGATTTCTTCAAGGCCCGCCCCACTCCTTCTCACCCTTCTGTACTCCTCCCTCTCACCCTTCTGTACTCCTCCCTCTCACCCTTCTGTACTCCTCCCTCTCACCCTTCTGTTCTCCTCCCTCTCACCCTTCTGTACTCCTCCCTCTCACCCTTCTGTACTCCTCCCTCTCGCCCTTCTGTACTCCTCCCTCTCGCCCTTCTGTACTCCTTCTCACCCTCCTGTACTCCTCCCTCTCGCCCTCCTGTACTCCTCCCTCTCACCCTTCTGTACTCCTCCCTCTCACCCTTCTGTACTCCTCCCTCTCACCTCTCCGTTCCTGTGTGCATCTCCCACCAACCAGGTGGAGGGGGAAAAAGTTCCGGATATTTTCTTCAAGGCCCGTCTCACTCCTCCCGCTTTTCACTCGTTCCTCTCGTCCTTCTTCCACTCCTCCACTCACCCCTTTCCACTTCTTTCTGCATTTCCCATCAACTCACCATCCAGGTGGAGATGAGAAAAGCTCTGGGCGATCTCTTCAAGGACCGTCTCACCCCTTCCTCTTTTCACTGGTTCCTCTCGCCCTTCTTGCACTCCTCCGCTCACCCCTTTCCACTTTTCTCTTCTCTGCATTTCCCATCAACCCACCAACCAGGTGGAGGTGAGAAAAGCTTTGGGGGATCTCTTCAAGGCCCGTCTCACTCCCCTTATTCCAGGCTCCGATGCACCTTCCCCTCCCATGACTGCTTCCGCATAACAATGTCGCTCATGTTATTACAAATTGAGTCATTGTCACGCTTCAAGCCTCTTCACTTGGGATGGCACGGTCTATGCCAGTCAGTTACAAGCTATGAGCAGTTAGAGTTTATTGCCGTGCTGGCATGGGTGAGCCACACAAATGTCTATCCGCGTTGGTTTGAAACATGGAATGTGTAACAGACTAGCTGTGTCAGCGCAGCAAATACCCAGAATAGGTTCTACTTATGTAACAGACTAGCTGTGTAGGCACAGCAGATTTGCATTACAGTTTGAGATAGCATGTGGTGCTTTGCATGAGCATGGATCGAGCAAAACCATACACCCTGTCCACGTTAGTTCCACACCACCTATTTTCTGTTTAGAAAATGCCCTGCTGGTTCTGCGACGTACGCCCACCAAATCAGGGATAACACTTAAGAGGAGTGAAATTATAAAGGAGAAGTGTACACCCTCATTCTCGCTAGACTGACCTCGGTTATACAAACATCCAGGAAGAAACAGCATGGTTGAAATCGGTAAAACATGGTTCGATATGGTTTATTAGGGAAATTTGGATAAGACAAGGTCAGCCCACCAGACGCCCGCTGGTGAGAAGGTTGAGAACGAGGGTGTGTATTAAGGGAATGCGGTAACAGTGCAGATCAAGCAACTTGGCTGCTGAGTTGAGACGTTTTCGTCTCACACATGGCTGCGGACTGGTGCTTGTCCTTTTTTACTGTCCTTGCACTGTGTAGTACACATGATGCCCGTTTGAGCCCCCCGACCTTGCCTTACCCTC